TCTGCAACGAAGCGAGACAAAAAAACGGGACGAGAGAGAGGGGAGTGTGTTCGTGAGATAACAGCCGCTCGAGCTCCGTGCCTCTGTGTTTGTTAGCCGATGGTGACAAGGACGACCGAGATTGATGTCTATCCTTGTCTAACTAACTTACTCGCATTCCTGCACATAGCACGGAACACAACCGCTAAATCGTGGATATAGCACGGATCACCACCAAAAATTCGTGGACATTACCGACAATTTCGTGGACATTGGCTATGTAGTTTAATGTCCACGTTTTGTGGACATAGAGGTGCTGAAACCAGCTCAATCGCCCATCCCAGCTAAATCGCGGGCATGGCCGCTCTCAGGATCCTCTCTGCTATAAGTACGCGACCGGCGGCCGTCGCGCGCGCGCGCGCACGATTTGGCAGACCCGACGACGCTCCGCTCCGGCGCGTGTCGACGAGGACGACGAGTCGACCTGCTGTGATTTGAAAACTCGCCCGGCGCAGACGTTTGAATTTGCAGTGATCATTTCGATTCCTCCCGTTTCATGTCGTTAATGACCGCCCAAAATTAGGTAACAGCTGATTTGTTTTGCTTGTGTGTTCTTTACGAGTTTTGCGCGAGAGAAAATGATCGCATGGAAAATCAATTAGTTTCATTATATATAATAAAAACTTGTAAAGAATACACAGGCAACGCAAACAATAACCTATGTACATTTAGGCGATATATATACATTTGCTATAATATTATTTAAAAAGTGAAAAATATATCTGTAATATATGTACACATACAGTCGTGGACATATCGGTTGCGACACTTTTTTTTTATAAATTTTAAAACGCACTAATATCTTGCGAATGCGAACCACGATTGCTGTTATACTGTCTCTAGACTAAAGAAAGCACATCGCATTTGCAAAATATTAGCTACCTATAAAATATATATTATACATATATATAATTATAATAATTAAATAATAAAATCTAAGTGGGGTTTGAGTCTCCGCTAAGTGAGGTTCGAATGCGCGAACGCTATATATTATATAAGTGCAGGAGAATAATAATAATCAATAAAATAAAATATAAATCTCCGCTAAGTGGGGTTTGAATCTCCACTAAATGTAATTCGGAGTCTCCGCTAAGTGAGGTTCGAGTCTTCGCTAAGTGGGGTTCGAGTCTCCGCTAAGTGGGATTTGATTTGAGTCTGCTCCTCTGACAAGTAAAATATATATGAATTTAGCGGAGACTCAAACCCCACTGAGGTTCGAATCTTCGCTAAGTGGGGTTCAAGTCTCCGCTAAGTGACCGGTTTCGAATGCGCGCGCTATAACTGCTACAAATACGGGAGCATAAATTCAATAAATTTTATTAATTTAATAATAAAATAAAATAATTTTATTTATTTAATTTTATTTTCGTCATCTTTTGTATGTACATACATCTTTTCGGCTTGTCAAAAAGATAACTTATAAAAAAGACAACTTTTCGTCATCTTTTAGTTTTTTGTGCTGTCTGAGTTATGTATATAAATATATACTAGAAACCTATAAAAAAAAGTGTCGCAACCGATCTGTCCACGACAGTACATACATACCCGTTACGCTAAAATAAAAATATATTAATTGAATAAGAAAGAAAAGGATATATTCAATTTTTTTTGCATCTGTATACGCATAACCATCATGTTAAAATAGATCGAATTATATCAATTGAATAAGAAAGAAAAGAGATATTCAAATCCTTTTTCGCATCTTCACTTTCGAAATAGTAGCTTTTATTAGCTCTCGGTATAATTTCAAGTCGATCTCGAAAATATGAATCTCGAAAAACAGATCTTTTTTCAACACTCTCTAAAAATATTAGCCCTGTTGTAATCATTATGCTTTAAATTCTATGAAAAAAAATTCATTTTCTGCATATTAAAAGGATGTATTTTACCATCTTGACTAGCTTAAAAACAAATCGATTTCTCCTATGTACAGATTGCGGTCCACATAAATATGCATGGGCGAATGTAAATCGTGATGCTGGATCACATTGACATTTCGCGGGCGGGCAGCGGAATAAAATCTGTATTTTTAATCGCTATCCTTGGCATATCTCTTGCGAGTGTGAAAAAAAAGGTTGCGTGAAATATATTGCGGAATTTTACACGGATCCCGCACAGACAAATTAATCGCGAGTTACTAATTAACGATTCAGTCTACGAACGAGAAGTGTCGCGAATGTTCAACAGGATGTTCTCCTGAAATAGATCGCCATTTAGCAACGACTTCTCCATCCGAATTTTTGAGGACAAGGACAGACGTATAGGATTAAACGGTCGCAGATAATCGTATATAGGATCCTCCAATATTTCGTTATCGCGTATTTCATTTGAAACTTAATTCTTAAGTCCAAAGCGGGATCTTGCAATAATATCCCAAGTTAAATTCATACACGTCTGATTCTGCGTTAATTGAACACTCTGAAAGGCGGAAATTACGATTTATAATACTGTCACTTAATTAATGATGATTTTTAATTAATTAGGTACATAACACGCGCGCGTGTGAGAGGTAATATAAAAATGAAGCCACGATGCTAATTAACGTGTTATTCAATATTGTCAAAGACGTAGTCGAACGGAAAGTATACGAGGAGGCGTTTTCGCAGACTTATCTCTCGACGTCTCGTGCGAATTTAATAACATCAGATTTCGTTGTCGCGCGCGCTAAACTTGACCGCGAAATCGACATTTATTATAATAATAATTAACAGAAATTGCAGGAATCTCGGCGCGCAGTCAGCGCGAGAGCTGCCGCGATGATCAGCCGCGGTGACATATTCGGTATTAATTATAACGTCTTTCCTGTACCTCCCATCCTAATCGAAATGAGAGAGACGATAGCCGGGTGAAAGTAGGTCTTGCGGTCTATTCGGGTGGAGACCAAAAATCTCCTCGCGTTCGCTTTTTGCCTACTTTTACAATATTAGAGTCTTCATTTGCGTTTTCTCCGAGACACATATTGCATTAAAAAAATAAGGAGAAAAAGAAAAATTCGCGAAAGAAAACGGCGCCTCCGTACAAACGGCGAACGTCCGCAGATGCGTTCGTTTGTTAGGCGAGAATAAGAACTCGAAGTTAAAACGATCAAATGGACCTTAATTGCGACTCTTAATTACTCTGGTATATGTTGACACTTCAATTAGGTTTCTTTTTAAATTAAAATGAAATCGAAGTTGCGATATAAAAGAGGGTGCTTTATTTTTTGCTTTTTCCCTCGCTTGATATAATTTTTATAGTATAATTTTAATATACATATATAAACAAGACAATACAATTAAAATTTTTTTGTTATAATTAATATTAATATAATAAATATACAATTTGAATTTTAATGTAATTAACATGTAATTTAGTATTCATTATTAAATATGTATAATAATGAATAATGCATAATGCATAATTAAATATACTTCTGTAATAGTTTCTTAACTCTCTGGACAGTTGTTCGTTTTGCTATTGTAACTTGGCTTTCAATATGCATGTATAAGTCAACATCTGATTGCCACATTATCTCGGGAACAGTTGGTAGGCGAGATTGGCTATCATTTTTTATACCGCCCACTTCTTAATTCAGTTGTCATTCTATCTCGTGGTATTAAAGAATTCCAGGCATTCTTTCGCGATACTTTAAGTAAAACGTTATCCATAATTAAGAAAATTGAATTTTGTCACGTCTCCACTTTGAAATCGTGTCTTATGTACAATTTATCAATTGCAGCTGAATTATGCGACTTCTTGTGTGTCTGTGAAGTTTAGCACCACACTTCTTGTCGCGGCTTCTTAGTTTTTTTAGACTTTAGAGAAATGAAATAGAAACGGGACGGGGGCGAGGGAGACAAGTGCGACGCGCGATTGAATTAAATAAGTATTAATTTAATCACATATAATTACAATCACACATATTTGCAATACATACTGCCAGACTCTGCTACAGATTAATTTGTCGTATGTTGAGAAAGTAAGTCTTAACTAGAAAAGAGTGCGCCATCGATTGTTATTGGAAGATATATCATTGAAAAGTGTCTAAACTTATCAAGCGCTCCTGTGCGAAATATAATAGAGTAATCACAAAACAGTATATATATGCTGAAATATTGACTTAATTTTTTAATATGTTTACTTTTCTTCGTTATACTTTCTGTCAAGCCTTCTTTTAGACTTTGCGTTACGATGTACACTTTGCAAGATTATTTTTTTTTTTTTTTTAATAGATTTTCTTAAGTAAACCGTACATTCGAAGGTTGAGCAGCTAAAAGAGGGAAGCTAAGGAGAGGGTCCAGGGGGTGGATTACCATAAGATTACAGATCGGGATGAGTGCGTCGGGAAAGCTTTCGTCGTGCTCATAGTTTGCAAAGGCGCGGCTTAAATTTATATACAATATTAGCTTAATCTGGATCATGTATGGGATCGGATCACGTTAGGGCGGTAAGCGATATCGCGGTATGGCCTCGTCGCGATCGGCGCAAACGTTGCACAATTATCCTGTCGAATAATAATCGAGCCGGGTATACGAAGAAATTCTAGCGCTGTCCTAGCGCAACATGCTGCAGTCTGATGGCTGTTACACGATAATTTATTCTTTTCTCGAAGAAATACCGTAAAATAGCGGGACCGATCGTTTCGTCGTATCAAAATAGATCTCTGATACTCGAATACCAATATAAAAGAATATATTATTTTGTATGCTCGTACGCATCTTTACATGGCGTTACGCTAGGAAGTCCGCTGGATTCTTTCATCGAGAGTCATTTTCGAGGAGATAAAGTCCTCGAATGTACGTCCTCGCCACACTGACTCTCGTCGGTCGCGTTGACAGATCGCGTCGATTTTCGCTGGCGACCTGAGTTAAGGAGGTCGATCGTGTCGAGGAGGCTATACCGCAATCTTCACCCCCGGGGACGAGGAGTGTGGCCTTTCGCTGCTATCGAGATTTAGGGCTTTGGCGCCTGCGGCTGCGCCGCCGCCGCGGTCGCCGCGTCCTCGCCGCTCGGCGGCGGCAGAGTTGGGATTTCCGGGTACTCGAGCTTGGCGCCGTCCTCGCACTCGAAGATCGGACAGCAGTCGGGGAAGCTCGAGGTCTTGTTGGTCTTGTCGGAGAGCTTGCACTTGGGGTTGGCCTTGGGCAGCGGGCCGCAGTCCTCCACCAGCTCGAACAGACGGCCGGAGTTGTCGTCGGCGGGCACGCAGGTCGAGCGGCCGCAGAACGGCGCCAGCTCCCACGACTTCGTCGGCTCGATGGTCGCGCACTTGGTCGACGCGAAGCACATGCCCGGGAAGTCTGCAACACGGCATATTACTCTTGTTAGAACGACGAGTTGTGCAAAATCCCGAAGAGAGAAACGAAAAAAAAAGAATTTAGAGATAGTATAGATTTTTCTTATATAGTTTAAAAAAAATATGTGTATATAATTAGTATAACAACTTCTGAAATTATTATGACAATTTGTATTAATACATAATAATATAAAAAATTATTACAAATTTATCTAAGATATATATTGTCGAAAAATCTATATATGATTACATAAATAATATAAGAAATTATTATTGATTATTATTATTCATTAAGCTTAATTAAAAAATTATATTGTATTTCGTTAATATACGAAATAATATATGGAGCATAACAAATTATAATAATTTATGTACAATAATGTACAAAGAATATTATTCAAAATATTACACGATACGAATCTTTGCACTGAGAGGACTGCTTTAATGACAAACGTCTCCTTTCTAAGTTTAACAATGCATGCGTCAACATTTTAATCCGCTTTGGCCGATGTGTAAGGATTCGCGGATCTCTTTTCGCTCGGTTTTCACCGAGGGTGACGCATTTTGTCAGTAGACGAGAGTAAAAAGGCCATCCGTAATCGCCGGTCGGCTCGCCGAAGTCGAGCGCGGCGAAATAAGACGGTGCACGACGATCGCGTTTCCTTAATAACGCGCTCACTCGCCCGCGTATTATCTCATTACCCCGTCTCACGCAATTCCGCAAAAGTGTCGTTACTTTCTAACGCGCCGTGCCCGCCGGACCTAAACGGCGCTAATGCTCGCCGGGTATAATGTTGCCCGTTAATTATCCCGGTCTGAATATCCGGGCAGATGAAAAGAGTTAATGCGAGAGAGGCGCGATTTTTTTTAATATCGCGTTGTGCACACCGCGATGCGCACAGTGAAATTGGGGACGCCGAGCTCGTAAAAACGTTTCGCGTGGGAGCGTGCTCCGTAATTTATCTTGAATCAGCATTTCATTTTGGCGACAGGTCAGTAATTGTCAATTGGCCGGTCGATCTTTCCTCGGCGATAAAAGTCCTCGCGTTTCAACGCATTGCGCTGATATTACGATCTTCTTGTTATCGCTATAGCGACAAAGCAATTATACGCTTCGATCAGAAGTGTTTGCTCCAATTTTTTTATTATTTCATTTATTATGATTATTTATATTATTTTATTCTTTCGAATCGAGTGTAGCCTATATTTTAGAAAATTAATCTTCTCGCAACGGTGAGAGTAACGCTTCGCTTTTTATCGGCGTTCGCGTCATTATCCCTATTGTAAACGGCTGGACAACGAACGCAACACGCCCGCTGGGTTCGGCATCCTATTTCCGAGTTAGTCTTTGTGTATTTGCAACCAACGTTATTAATGACAGTCGCGAATTTCACTTCCTCGACGACGACGACGACGACGACGACGACGAGGACGAGGCCGATGGCGATGGGTGCAATGGATGATGGCATTACGGGGCTAATTCAACTTGCAATCGGCGACGATGACGAACGTTGCCTCGATATCCATCTACGACGATGACAACGACAAGAACACCCGGTGTCGTCGTCGTCGTTGTCGTCGTCAGCTGCGGCGACGGTGATCGTGCTAGAAACTTCAAGGAGAAACACTTTCACTGTCATACACCGGGCCGGTCGGTTGCGCGCTTTTACGCAACGCACTGACGACAAATGTTGGGCGTCATTACGACGGACGTTGATTTTACAGCTCTCGGCATGGCAGTTACATCAGCCCTTCGAGGCCTGTCTCACGATGACTCACGGCGAGATCGTTTCACCCGTGAGCGCGAGGACGGATCTTTGAAAAATTCCAGATTGAGAAATTCTTCAGAGCTGGAGGAATTTAAAAAAAAATACGGTAAAAAATGGGACGGGAACCTCTCGAGTGGATAATTTATTGATTTTATGAGTCACGTAGTGGACCGGCGTATATCTCTCGCTTAGGATTTCACGTGCGATATAGATAAGATCGAACGGAGGATTACCTATACGTGTCTCGCATAGACGTCAGGTTGTCTAATCCGGCTCTGTCCCGCCTCTGCGAGCGTGTTGTTCGCGTTAAACAATGACGTGTTCGTTACCGTTTTCTCAATGCCGGCCGGAGAGCCGCGCTCGTGATCGGCGCTCGTTACGGCGCCGCTAATGCGCCATTGCGGTTTTCTCGTTTCACCGATCGCCATGAAATAGTAAACAAGGACACTTTTTTTTATTAAAGAGATAAAATAGGCGCAGAAATTGCGATCTTTATGCCGATTCAATTATATAGAAGCGCGGAGCTCAGAGAATTTCAAATTGAAACGTAGACACTAACTTAATTCTAAGAAGGAAAATTTGCAATGAAGATCAGAGACGTCTTGTTTTTAACGATATTTTATACTCGATGTAATTCATTAATACGTTTCTCGTATTATACTTTTATCTATATGTTATTACTGTCGTTCCCTCAACGGCGTCTCGATGGAATAAATTCTTTTTGCATCAGAGATTAAACGAGTTTCTTCAGGACGCTTGAATAGAAATTACTAAAACATCGTTAAGTCGCAAGAAGATTTATTAAACGGAGAAACGAGGAGAATATTATGGCAAACTTTCACTGGGACCTGCAAGAAAGCGAGCAATGAAGAATTCTGAATTTGTCGCGCATAATTGTTTCTAGTGCCGAATCAGAATCACATCAGATAATAATTGCGAGAATATATTCCGCTGACATTTCTTTAAAATGCGAGGACATTGAAAATTGTCTCGTTAGAACATTCTATGTCCTCCCGAAGAGAAACTGGCTTGTCCCTCGAGAAGCTAATCCGGGAAATCATCAAGTTACAATTTATTATCACGATGTGTATCACACCGCATGTGTGATACAATAATGATACGGACGCACGATTCTTGCCTCGCGTAATCTCGAAAGTTTCGCGACGCCGCGCAGGCGAGGCTTCTCGTTCCCTGATGATTTTACCGCCGTTTGCTCCCGCCCGCACTTTCATCAACGCGCCGCCGGTTGTCATTTCTGGTCTGGATGCACACTTTCTTGAGTGCGCTTCGCTTTCAAATAGCAAGAATACTATTCCGCAATAAGCGTCCGCGCCACCGTAATTATTTCGATCGAACAATAGCATCGGGAGCGGATGTGTGTCCCTTAACAGGTGTACGAAACGAAAAGATTGTCCATCGGTATATTTTTTTTCGCGCTAAAAAATAAAAAAGATCGAAAGAACTGGAAGGCGATTGTTCGCCGCTTATGTGTAGGCCGCTATACAGGTATAATTGTCTGCACGCTATACCGCGTCGAGACGTTGTTTCCGCGAGCCCGTCGCATATTCGAGGCCTTCGCCTTACGCATATACGTGTGCATTCGCGACCTTCCGACAGGCGTGCGGTAAATAATTCCATCCTTCCCGTGGAGCTCTTCCACACTTGTGGCGCGATTCTGCCTTCGCCTACAATTCGAGCAACGAGGCCGCGCGCTCGTATTTCCCCCCTCGTTCGCTCCTGTGACTAATTCGATTATTCATGGAAATCCAGGTCTGCGACGACAAATAGGTAAGCAAGAAGGCGGCCACGAGTAATTAAAGACTAAAGGCGGGAGCGATCTACGCGAATATCAAGGTTTTTTCTCTCCGAAAGGCGCTCAAATTGATCTATCGCTTTGCGCGGTTAAACGTGCGGTTTCATCGGAGAACGTAATTTTTGCGGAGAGTCCCAACATGGCGCAACGGTGTGATTTGCATCGAATGGCACAGGAAAAAAAACGCCGCTTTATATACAGCGCATCAGTCCTTAACCACCCGAGCCTTAATTGACTTCTGTCTATTTTCCTTCTATTTCAATAGGATTCTATCTATTTTTTTTTATAAACGTATAGTACATACAATCGTCAGAATAAATCTGAATTAAGAATGCAGGGCGTCTCGTGAATACCAACGCTCAGTGGCACGCCATTAATTGCATTGTCTTGTTAAACTACCTTTCTTTATCATTTTTTTTTTCTTGAGACACCTAAAAGCAACAAGTTTTGTAATGGTCTTCTTAACTTATTGAGAGGAGAAACGCATCACTGCACCCTGCGGACCGTATAAAGAAGAAAGTGATATTGGGAAAGGGAGAAGGAATGGGAAGGGAGGTGGGGACGAGGGGGAGGGAGGGCATTGCAAGCAAGGGGATCATAAGGTGATGGTTACGGCACGAAACTTTCACGCGCGGTCTCGTGATCTTGACGTCGCGAGCTGGAGCAGAGTTTGCTATTTTTCTCGGCCCGCGTCCGTCCGGGGATCTCGTCTCTCCGCCGCGCGTGTGATACATCGGACCTGCGTCCCTGTGAATCCCTGATTCAAGGATTCACGAGAACCGCACCCGCGTTACGAGATAATGGGCGAGTCGACGCAAAAAAAAGACGTCCGCGGCGGTTACGTTTATCAGGGTCGGTTCACGCATGGATTCACGCATGGATAAGTACAATGCTGAGACGCGATAATTATGGAGCGAGAAAAAAGTGTTAATCAAGGTCGACACGAAGAAACGGAAGCGAATGATCGCGAGGTGTAGGCGAGGACGGGCTTATCTATCTCAGAATCTACCGGGGGCTCGCCAGCGATCGATTGAATATCTCGTCGTGATTTCTCGCGAACTCGACTGTGATATTAATAAACATTTTCAGTTTGCGCAGAATTGAAACAGCTAAAAGCTCCTGATTTGGTTGCTAACTCTTTAATCAAAATTATGTTCAGAATAATGCATCGAATTGAAAATGTTATTTTATAAATACACAAGCGCAGCTATGTGGAATCAATTGTAAAAATGGAATTGACTCTACGTTTCTTTTTTTAGATTCTGTATGTGATGGAGGTATTTTTATACTTTGTGAAACATAAGGTGAAGAGATGACTTTTTTTAGGATAATCAATTCGAACACAAATCGCTGCCGCCGCGAATGACATTCGTGACACGGTACGTCATCGGAATTCCGAGACAGCTGTTTAATACGCGTGACAAGACATCGTAAGAAAGCCAAATGTCTTCCAAGCACCGGTTGAAAATAATGACAATCGTTCCGCTTGTCGGTCATGTACATACAGTTCTTTGAATTCGGCCCAGACACCTAACGCAGTGATTCTCAAGTCGAGGTTTTACACTTCGTTTTTTCTTCATTCCTCTCTCTATCTCGTGAATCTTCAAGTATTAACTGTTTATACTTATAAATATTACACGGACTGATAAAACGCAAACGTTAATTCGCTCGATAAAATTGCATTTTTGCAATGTTATTATTTTTTATCATCTTTTGTTCGATATATAAGCAACAAGAAAATTATTTCAGAGAATATATCGGTAAATTATAAAATTTGTTTGGTGAAAATAATATTGTTATTCTTTCGCGCGAGCTAAGAAGCATGCCAAGATCACGCCATTCGAAAGGCGATATCTCATCTTCGGCAACAAATTAGCATACAATTTATTACGCTAATAACTGACGCGAGTTTCTATGCTGTCAGATATATTGCTTAATTGCTTCTATCTTGCGCGATATCAAGCGATATTAGCATCACGTTACGAAGATAAAGATCGTTGTTTCAACAGCGAGGTGCATCGTGATAAAAATTATATACTCTTTCGCCGAGAAATATCTTTTCGAAGCGTATCTCTCTATATCGAGCGATCTGCAATGCTGGTACTACAAGAAATGTCGAGATGCACGGCAGAGTCTCTTGGATCGCGACAGAGTCTGCCGCGGGGTAAGATATTCGGGAAGGGTTGATTCGAGAGTTAACTCACCGCGGAGAACGTCGGCGGGTATCAATCTCCGGAAGGTTTTCGGCCGCTCCTGCTCCTGGGCACCCTGGGTGGCGACGAAGGCCACGGCGACGCACAATAAGGCGAAGACGGTCTTCATGGTCTCTCGAGTCTCGGGCGACGGACAAATTCGGACGAGGGTTACCTCCTGCAGGAGATGGGAGGGATGGAGTCGAGAGGAGCAGAAAAATGGAGCTTCTCGTATCGATTACGACTGGTTGGGCCCGATCCTCGTGGCGGCATTTTATAGCCAGCCATCGGGCGGGGTCCCTGCGCGATCCCCTCCAGGATCAGAGAGACGTGGTCTCTCACCTCTTGAACCGCGCCAGTCACCGAGGCATCGTTCGCGACCGGAGCTCGAGTGACGTCCGGGGACACCGCCGCCGCGCCGGGGTCCGCGCGGTAGGTAGGTAGGGATGCGTACCCATACGATATGGGCCGCGATTTTGGTCGTGCCCCGTCCTGGTGCGAAATCTGGAAAAATAAAAATTTCTAATTGCTACACGAGGAGAATGTCGGAGCGTCGACGATCTTTGACTCACAAGCTCAAGAAAGAGATTCACTCTTTCACAAGCTGACCTTCGGAGAGCCAATGAAATTACGGTCTTCAGTTAATTTTCAACCAAGTTTACTTGAATAGGATTTTAATTTGATGTAGGAAATTGAAGAACTGCAATAGGATGATGACCAACCTCGACACATCCGCTGAGGAAAAGTCGGCTCCAAATTGGCCGGTGGATCTGTTATCAAGAGATCGTCTGTTTGACGGTTTTGAGCTATCCTTGAGAATGTATAAATAATATATCCTCTCACCGAGAGTATCTTTGACAAGAGAACCTAAAAAAACCCTTAAAAAAAAATTGGCCCTTTGAAAGCCAGCGTTAAACTGTAGATTCTATATATCTATGAATATATGCAGGAGAGGTTGCCTACATCCGAGATGGATACGGCATACGAAGAAGTAGATATACTTATATACTTAGATAGTACAAAATAAAATTAAAAAGTGTTCAGATCACTTCAGATGTCTAAAAGAAAAATTATTATAACGCATTGAAGGGCCTGCGTAAGTCAATATAAAATTAAAATTAAAAATCTAGTTATATTATTATTATTTAATATCATGTGTTATTAATATTTACTGTCTCGAATCCTAATCCTTATTTAATGAAAAAATGTAATTCCATTGAGCCACGAGTTAAATAAAAAAACGTAAGAAGAGTAAAATATAAATGAAAGTTTGTAAACAATGTTTGCAGCAATAAATCGCATATGCATCGATAAAATAAAATGGACAGAAAAATAAAATGAACTTATAAAAAAACAATCTGTTTCTGTCAGTTCATATGCAATGTGATTTATTGCTGAAACTATAGATTGCAAACTTTCATTTGTATTTGGCCGTTCTTACGTTTTTTTATTTAACTCGTGGCTCAGTGGAATTACATTTTCCTCACCATTTCCAGATTTTAAATAAAAGAAGCATCCAATTTAATAAGATAACTTAATCGTCGAGTTAATTTGTCTCACTTTGTCAGCCGTAAAATGAAAGAGTGTTAAGACACTTTCCTTTATCGAGTGCTTTCAAAAGTAGACTAAAATATATCCATAGCTCGTCGCAATATAATAGCCTCACCTCATGAGTTTAATGGATCAGGTATCACGGTTAATTTGTAGATCGACATGTGTTAATAAGGCACGTAGCGCGATTAATTGACTGACAACAGTTTATTATCTCGTATCTGTAATCGCGAAATTGCTGCAAACGTGTCTTCGGGGGACTATAATCGGCTGTACGTTACTTTCATCCGTTTATTAAATCTCGCTCATTAGCACTTTTGAAACGCATCAATGTGGTGTTCGTAAAATTCTCTCTTTGCTCTAAGTTAGCGTTAATTAATTTCAGATCAGAGCGATAGTGAATCGTTCGACGAGTGAACGACGTAAATGCAAGAAAAAAAAGAAAAAATGCCTTGACTCGAGACACTTTATAATGTGCGTAAAGAATTAATAACTGCACCTCTGTGTGATTATACACTGTTTTGTTACTCGATCAAAGACTACGTCAGTTCCAGCGAAATGAATTGTAATTTAATTAGCATCATGTATATTATCAAGATGCGTTGCGGTTCCGTGCGCGTGCTTCATGCGCAGCATGCGAAGGGGACACGTTGTCACGTTAGGATAATAGCGTGGAAAATCTACACCGCTCGTTTTCAGCAATTACCAAGGGCTTAATAACAGTAATACGCGTTGAACTTATCAACATGATAAAATTACAATAAAATGCCGTTGTCTGTAACACAATTTGGGTCCCACCTATACGTTGATGATGGAGAAGAGAGGCGTGTCGGCTGAGAATGAATACAGCTTTCTGAAACTTGAGCGTTTCAAAGAAAGAGAGAAAGATGAGAAAGAGAGAAAAAGAGGAGATCTTAGGGGAATTTTACTTGCCAAACAAGATCTCCTCTCTCTCCAAATGTTAATAAATTTAATCGGGATTTAAATTCCGCCGTCCGCTTAAAATCGATTTAGATCGAGATTTATGACGATGAATAATTTACGAAGCGGACGCATGGTGTTGTACAACGACGGTACCAGCTCCAGAAGAACTGGTACTGCAACCGCGAGCTTTTAAGAGGAATGCTACAGTCAAAAAATAATCCGCATATTAGCATCCGGGCGCGATTTATCACATTTTATTTCGGCGTTGCAGAACCGGCGTTCTTTAACCGCGTGATCTCGTCGCGGCCTCGTGGCTGCGGTTTCGCGTAACTCCTCGCGAAATTCTTCCCTCGAAAAGCAATTGGGCAACAGCAGCTCCCGCCGATACGCACGAATCTCGGGGAACGTCATTAAAATGCGCGGGCTTCTCGGAAGGAATTAACATAGCCATTAGTATAAGCCGTGAAACGTTAGGAAAGCCGCGGGCGGCTGACTCATTTCAGCGTGAAGGAGTTGCTTAAAGGCGCGACCGGCCGTTTGTATAATATAATTCGTATGTTTTGTAAGTAACGCCGATTAAGCGCGGAAACGCACGTTGGGCAATATCGCGTGCGTGTTGCATAATGTTATCCCCGCGCGAGATTGAATCTCTGAACGCACATACGATTCTCTCGTATACACGAATGTCGACTTTAATATACGCACGCTGCAACGTCATGGAATATCCTGCGTAGAAAATTGTGCGACATGCGCGATATGGATATGGCGTATAAGTATTAATTACCGGAATCTAAAGAAATGATACGTTTCCTCGAAAATCTCGAGTCAATAAAGGGTTGGCGCGTAAATAAAGATCGAGTGTGTCGAAATGAAAGATTGGAGAGTTAAAAGCAGCTACAACGATTTACATAACATATATATCTCTACTCTCGCTCAATTTTCCGTCGTGGCCGCGCTTTTCTAATTTTATTTCTGGAAATTTGGCTCGTTAGTCTCGTTAATCCACAAATATCTTCCGGAAAAGAGACTACGGATATTGGATGTGATTGGAGGGGAGGAGGTGCAGATCGCGTCGTTCGCCAAGAAACCTTCGCCACCTTGCCATCGGCCTCGAAGACTGTCGGACGAAACGGAGGCCGAGGGGATGCCTCTTTCCAAATTGCGGATGCTGTCGGTGTCAGCGTCAGCGATGTGCCGTCGTGGACGTGACGCCACCCTTGACTTCGTGATCCCGGCTGATCTCGATCTCGCTCTTGGTCGAATCCCGATCGGAGTCAATCAGCTTGGTCTTTTCGATCTAATTATAGACAATGATCTCGGCAAAATTGGCAACGATGACCTTGGTCCCAGTCTTCGCCTTGACCTCGATCGGCCGTCGCCGACGTTTCCGTTCTCACTTTGGTTCTCCATGTCCGCGCGTGGACGTCACCATGCACGCTTCCGCCTGCGCCCGGACTTCGAACTCCGCCCTTGCTTCCGCTTTGACTTTGGCCGAGTCGTTGAGAAAAGGCTGCTCGTCGCGGAAGCAACGGCCGAGACACCGGCGAGCAGTTGCTCCAGGCTGAGAGACGCCGTTCGCTAATATTTGTTTAACAATTCGGGAAGAAATCGAAAAAAGAATTTAAAGAGATTTCTCATACTCACTTATATATGTACATTATGTTTGTCATTTGATCGTGTCGCAAGAGAAGAAGAATCGTATTCCAACAACTGTAGTAAATATCCTCATTGTAATTTCCAAAATTTCCAAAAATTTTTTATATTCTTTCTCTCCCTTTACCTCTTTTAATATAAAATTAATTTTATTGCTGTATATCTAATATTGAAAAATAAAAATTGTTAAATATTTCCATATTTCAGGTATTCGCGTGAATTGATTTCATTCATAATTCGCAGAACAATATTAGTTCAAAACTTTACAAGTTAAATTGACTGTCAAAAAACATTCTCATATCGGAAAACATTGTCGCGTGTATTGCGATCGAGAGATAAAGAGAGAGAAGATGATTGGTCGCAAACTGTGGTAAAGAAACCTCTGGCAAACCGTACTCGAATCCGTGCCGGATGCGTGAGTGATGTAATTGTTACGAAGCCGACGGAGCTCAATTGGGGCGATATTGTATGCCGAGATTGCGGGGGACAACGGCCGGGCCCCGCGCCGCGGGCACGGCTTGCTCGGGGAGTATGAAACGGCCAACGCCTAATGGTAATTTGGGATCTGCCCAAATTGGAGAAAGTTTCCCGTGCCGATTGTCGCACGCGAGGATCGTTGCACGCTATTTACTCTGCCGTTTATCGCAACATTCGTCAACGAGGAAATAACGGAGGCGTTCAGCAATGGGGAGAAAAGACCGGGATACGTGGGAAATAATAAGAAAATATCTGTTTATAGCGATTCTGTCAATCTGTTAGAGTGATCTGTTAGAAGAGGAAAAGCGATCGCGGTCTTAAAATCAATTTTTCATATTACGATTTACAGCTATAATCGGATAACTTCCTCAATTACATTACGGTTTTTATCATTGCGCACACACTGGTACCGCCGTATTTAACTTGTACCACGTTTGAGATAATTGGAGAAATAAATCGCAGAGAAACACCTCTTTGACGGAGGAAAGTCGAGTGTTGCCGGGTATAATTAATTGAGAATCCAGCTTATGTAAGAGGCTGCCTATATGTAAGAATTTATACGCGTTATCGTTCGCAACAGTGAGCCATAAAATATAGGGCAACAGGAAGACCGAGGTGTGTATTTAAGTTTCAGGAATGAGTGAATTGTAAGATGTAAAATAATGCCTGAAAAAATATAAGGAAAAATACGAGAAAATATATTATAATAAAATATATAAGAAGTAATCTGTTCGTAACACTCGAATTTTTATTTATGAAACTGCTGTACGCGTGAGGTCGGTGGAGTTCTACTGGTGATGCAAGAGCAACTGGTAGTTGAATCTACCAACTCCTTTGCAATTAAAAAAATATATATATATAAAGCTTATTTATCGTGCTGTTGAAAACAAAGGAAAACAAAGAGAATGTTCAAGCAAAATGAATATATTTTCAATAATATTAAAATGTGGCGTCGAGTTTGCGAGTTTGAAAGTTACTTCGAACGCGCGATCGGAATTGGAATTTTATTTGATCTATCATAGTACTTTTTATTTACAGTATTATATTTATATTTTTAATAAATTAATCATCATTGAATTTTATTGCCTAATTTGATTTTACTTTTATTTATTTCTGTCATATTAATATTAGATACCTTATTTCTCTGAGAAATATATATACTTATATCTCCGTTCTCGCATTTAGCCGGATCGACTCCGGCGTGAAAAGGTGAAAGTAGATCGTATGGGATAATCCCCTTTGGAGAGAAGTCCCGTATAATAAAGAAGAAAAAAACAGAGAGACAACGATCTCTCGTGCGCGTTCTCCGTGTGATGACGAATCTGGAACTGAGCCTTGACACCGGATAGTAGAATTTAGGTCTTCGCTTGCGAGAACCTGTATCTGTCAACGCATTTGCTATTGTTACAGTGTCAAATAATTATTTAAAATATTTGATTGTGCTACATGTATCCAGATGGATTGTCAAAACGACGGAAACTGTCATAAAAAGATCTTTGAGTCGTCCTTATATATCCGAATTTCTCCGCGTAGACTAGTATTATTTCGGATCGCCTACGCCGCGCGCATCGTTTGAACAAAAATCGGACGATATCAATCTGTTGTTGCTTATCGTGTCGAAGAGAAACTAAAGTAACACGGTAAGTGGCCGTTTGTGGAGGATAGGCGAGAAAGTGGCAGTGAAGTTTTGAAACTTTCCACGTGAAAGTGCAAGTAAAGATGCTCTTTGCCTGTGCAATAAATATTCGATAAACTGACTAAAACACAATTTTCGTCGCGAAATTTTCGAAAAACGCACGTTCTAAAATTGTGTACATTATGTATTAGTGATTAATAAAATAAATTGACGAGTCAACGAGTTAATTCAATTGCGCACACCGTCGAACAGCAATTTGCAATGACAAAGCGACGAGTTGGAGAACGAAGGAGTTAAAATATGATGAAGCCGAATTTATTTTACATTGAATAAAGCAATCATGTTCCTTTTTCTCCGTCTTTCTCTGCAATTAATACACTGAGAAAAAAAAATTGTTAAAATAACTAAATGCGTTTTGTTGACAGTTTTTCTTTGATTTAATTATATATGTTTTTGAATTAAACATACATCAATAACATATTTTTGCGAATTAATAAGTATTTTGTTGAATTAACAAACGTTTGCTTGACAGCCCGTGACCGCCGCATTTAGTTGAATGAAATAATATTTTTTTAAATCAACAATTTTTTTTCTCAGTGTACAACGAGCCGAATACATTGTGACATAGTTGAAATTAAAAGTACATTTTAAATACAGATGCTTTTTCTTTTCCCAATAGTCGCATTGCGTTTTCGTTTATAAACTTGGCTTAACCACTGATTGCTTTAACCGCAAATGCAATGACATGAAATATTTTCTTAGTTGATTCTTGGGTATACTAAGAACTGCTAGAATTGCCAAAGATGACGGTAACAATAATAATTGACATTCTTGTCGCGTGCAAACGTTAATCAAGTGAATTTACCAAAACGATCTTGATGCTCATTTTCACTTCAAATTTTTAGAAGACCGCTAATAATACATGCAGAACATTTACAAAATATAAGATTAAGCGATCGGCAATCGTGGTATCATATGAGCTGTTTGAAGGCCAAACCGATCAACTCGACGGAGTAAAGGTCAGAGAAAATTATAATGAAGTTGTAAGCTGATCGGTACCGAAATTAAGAAATTTACAAAAAACGGAGTCGGTATAAGATTTGATTTTCGAGATACTCGTATACAAATATCAGACGGATTACATTATGGAAATTGACCAAGTCGCGACGGAAATTTCCATAATGAAGATTGCCGAGATTTACGATGCGCCTCGCCGTTTTTTTTTTTGCACAACGTGTAAACGTGCTAGGTCAATGCAACGGCGCATAACGCGCTCGTTGCAACAGCCTGTGCTGAGGACCTGTCATCTATCCGGCCCAAGTCAATTAAAGCCATGCCCATCCTCTTCCTGTTCGCTTTCTGCGCTTATTCGCCGCAACTTGACCCTCTGCGCGAACTCCTTTTTATATTTAATATGTCATTGATTAAAATTATACATATGTGATTATAATTCTATTTTCAATGTAAATGAAAGAAAGATATAATAAAGTTTGGATTCTTCTGGAATTAAATGCTTGAAGTTGCGATGAGTGTCAGAGAAGTGCGGTGAGATATTTATAAAACAAGTTTTCTGAATCATTAATACACATTTTTACATTTTTATAAATTACATATAAAAATTATACATATTTTATTAAAAATATCGTTATTAGTGCTACATATATACATACATATACATAATCCTTTGCCTATTAACATTAATTACATAATATTTTCGACAAGTAGATATTAAATTGTCGTTACTAAAATTACGTACACATAAATTATTAAGCAAGATACCTATTCATGTTGACGCTAAAAATGAGCGTTAAAGGTCAAGATGAAATGGTACCTTTGGCTCTCCAGCTCTTTCTATTTACATATGTTACTGAACTGTTTTATCGACCGAAATTACAACATTTTGATCCCAAATAAAACGTCTTATATTTTAAGACGTCATAAATTAAGATACAAGACATTTTAAAGATATACGGATTTTAGAGCGATACAGATGATTACTTATCTTTTGCGACAACTCCATAAGACATCTTTGAAATTTTGGAAACGCATCTTTTTAGACGACACGTCACAACGCTCGCTGGACAATTTCTCGCCATTCTCAAAATAGCATCTCATGACAAAGAAACTCGTATTAAAAATCATAAACATATGTCGGATCAACTGGAAAGTAACGAATGTGCTCCAATCGGAACTTTTAATTTTAGTGATCGTAGAATAAGCGAGAATTACGTAACTTGCCCTTGACACACTTCTAGTCCTATCATTTTTCCTATTGTTACGTTATCATGAGAAATTTCCCAGTGCAAGTAATTATTATTAAGCGAACGTGTGGATAACCGCGTAGACAATCGACGGGAAAAATGAAATCGATGCGTTTGAAAATTACGCCCGCGAGACGGTGCGGAGAGTTTTGCCTGTAGATGTGCGCACGAGAAAAGAGAACTATGAAATATTTATGAGAAAGAAACCCCGTCGTTACAAAAGGCGGGATATAAATATTAATGTTTATATAAATTATTAATTTAATATTAATATTAAATTAACTGTATTGGGAAACAATATGAAATCACATTTTAATTATAAACTAATTAAATTGTGCACCAACGTAAAATACAGTTAACAAAGAGTGAGTTTTCGACACAATTTATATTAGACTGTCTCGACAATGATGAACTTACATGAAAAATTTAAGTTAATATATAGTGCATACTGCCAAGTTACTGCTCGTCACCAATACTTCTTATGTCATCAAAAATCGTAAATTATTCTATCTTGCATTTGACACAACAATGTCATCAATTTATAATCTTTTCGCATATAAAGTTCGCAAATAGATTTGTATCTCGAAAAAACTTTTGTAACAATTGCGATACATCCTTATATTTTTGCGAGGTAGAAGAATTTACAGAAGAAAATAAATTAAGAAGACATTAAGAGGCGAAATTATGAGAACCCTTTGCTCACGATATAATCGTTTCTTTTTATTACTTTTGGAATATTAAAGCAAATTGCGATAAGAAATAAAAACACCGTGATACATATGATAGGCCTTCGGTAGATCGATTTAAAACTCGTTTCCCGATTTCGAGCGTACATATAATAATTTCACATTTCATACGAATTACATTATGTACATACGTAACTCCCTCACACGTGTGACGTTATACATATATATACACATAGTTATATACATCAACGATTATTGCTAATCTAGTTAATGTGTGCTATTATTTACAGAAAATAATTACTACTAATGGAATTTTACGAGGCTCTCGAGATCTCATTTGAATAGCATTTTCAGCTTTGCTTTATTATTTCAGTCAAACCAAGAACGATTGTCACGCGTTATGCATCTGTAAAAATTATAAGACAGCTGTTCTGATCCGATTACCATCACTGAATGGACAAACAAAACATACGATAGGATATGATCAGAGAATTCATATTTGTCAAAAACATATAAAATGATTAAATTTTTTGCATGCTACATTATACATTTATCTTTGATTTTATTGTTCTTCTCAGTAATTCTTTTCGTGTACTTTTTATGTATCGATAAGCTGAAGATATTTAATTCTGTATTATTGCGCATGCACGTCGAAATTACGAAAGAAAACGAAGAGATAAATCAGGATTTATCTCTTCGCTTTCTTTCTTTTTTTAAAAAGGATTGTAGCATTTCTTTAGAGACAGAAAAATGTTGCCGACACAGCAACTATTTTGATGAATAAAAATGCTGACAATTAAGTTATATTTAAATATCACATGTATTTTAACTACACGCTAAGAGAAATTTTTCTTTATATCAATTCCGTTATTTTCGATATTTAAAAAGATATTAACCATAAATTGAGTTATTCCGGAAGCGCGAATCGTTCTTTCCAAATTTGAGAGCGGTGTTTACTTCTTAAAATCGGCTCGAGGACAATCGCGATGGATCTTATGCGCCCCCTAAATCTCTCGTTGTCCCGTGCAATTTCTTCCCACGGGCCTTTTCGGGCTGCTCGGTATGCGTAATTCCATGTTACCATAACATGTACTACTGGAGTCGGGTCGAAGCTCACCTGAAATCGAATTTCAAATTTCGATATTTTCTGTTGATGTATGCACATATTATAAACATAAATATGCGAGATATACAGAAATATATCTCATATATTTAATGTCGTTTGTGACAATTTAAAACTGACTTAACGCACAGTTGTTAATAAAATAATAAAACGATTATTAAGGATTTTGTTGTATCACGCAAGTCTTGCAATTTATATATGTGCAATAAATACCGATTAAATTACCTAATTTGACAGACCAAACTTGTAAAATGTTCTTAAGACTGTATGTACGATAGCGTTTAAATTTCAACATTTTATATAAAAATTTAAATATAAAAAGAAAATGTTAATATCGTATTTATAGATTTTCCTATTTTGTAGTTTTCTCGCTTCTGAAATGACAATCAAAAGTAAGTATTGAGAATCTTTATTTAAAGTTATTTGTTATTTAAAGTTATTTGTTATTTAACTTATAAAATGTTCTTAAGACTGTATGTACGATAGCGTTTAAATTTTAACATTTTATATAAAAATTTAAGGAAAATCTATAAATACGATGTTAACATTTTCTTTTTATATTAAATTTTTATATTTAAACTTTTATATTTAAATTTTTATATAAAATGTTAAAATTTAAACGCTATCGTACATACAGTCTTAAGAACATTTTACAAGTTAAATACCTTCTTTGTTTGCGCCAGTAATTCCTCGCTGTCCTCATCAGCAAAGATGATCATGTCATCGAACTGGCTGTCTCCGTCATGAAAGCTTATCCCACTGCCGTCAACGTCGTCTTCAGTAGCAAAGGAATTATTGAGATTATCCAAATTTTCGGAATTATTAGATTCATCAGAATTCTCGGAATTATTACAATCAGATATTTTGAAACCATTGAAATCATCAGAATTTTCAGAACTGTCTGACGGTAATCGGTGGTGTCGGGGCAAATTCTTTTGCATTTGGTAAACCTTACACGGTTGGCATTTGTCGATGATCTTCGTGAAATAGCCGTAATGCATTCGCGAGTACTTGGTCGCTTTCTGCTCGTCTAGAGCTGCGGAATTGCAATTGTTGTAATCTTCGGAACTCTCTGACGACGCTCGAAATCGAATCGGAGTTTTCACGGCATCGCGAGTTTTGCTGTTGGAATCCTCGCAAGGACTATCGTTCTTCCTCATCGAAGAATCAGGAACATTGTGTGCTCTGTCGATAGGGTGTTCAGTCGCTTCGCGTTCCTCGCATCTCTCGTGCAATTCTTCGTCATCCTCAAAAACGATCCAACTGTCCTCGAAATCAGACGAGTTCTCCGACAATGTCCGCGATCGAAACGAATCTTCCTCGTGTGCATCAGATGTCTCGCTGTTGCTATCCTCGCAATAAATGTAATTACTCATCGAAGAATTAGCTATGTAACGCACTTTGGTCATGTATTTCGCTTTAGTTTTCTTCTTCGCGCACGCCTTCGGTTTTCCCTTCCTAGCTGTTCCTTTGGGTAAGCTGGACATCAAGACATTCGGGCCATCAATCTGTTTTGCGACTTGAGTGGGAACTGGAATATTCACGTTGTCCAAATTATCGAGTTTGTTGTCTAACGGACAATCGTTCGGCGCCGCCGCGACAAGATTACTCTGCTCGCAATCGTCGTTCTTGATGCATTCCTTCCGGCACACGGTTTGGCTCACCCCGGAACGCCTCAGCTGACACCTTGCTCTACCGCGACCACGGCCTATCGCGATGGCGTTGGCCTTCCGCCGGTGCTTCGTCGAGCGCTTCGCGGCCATTCCTGCTGTCAAGTAAAAACTCAAGTAGTTCAAAGCATTTCGGAAAACGTTGGAGACATGCGACACTGTGCTCTTCATATCGAAATCCGCGGGTACGGTTGGCACTTCCCAGTGAGACACCATGTGGAAGGACTCCGTGTCGTCCGTGTCTTTGTGCACGTTAATTTCGTACTTCTGCGGATCGACATCCGAAGGATGACCAGTGGCGTCAATCTTATCTTCCGTTTCTGTCTCGTTAACGCGCAGCACAGAGTGAGATTCCATTGTACTATTATTCTCTTTATATGTATCGTAAAAATTCTTCATAAAATTCGCATCGTTTCTGCTAATCAAGTTAAAATCGTCGACAGTATCCCAATCGTGTAGATAACTTACGGGGTTCACTTCATGTCCTAACAAAGAATCGTTGGAAGGATTCATCAAGGATTCGATACAATCTTTGTACATATCTGTGGAATCTCTCTGCTTCAAATTAGATTCAATCAGAAGCGTTTTCGTTCGTAAAATATGCGACATATCTTTGATTTTTGTCGACGAATTTTCCAAAAGTCTATCAGAATTCAGTATTTCGTTATTTACAACCGTAACAGACAGAGAATTCGTTAGCCCCATATTTGGCAGGTACTTCCCACCTAGGATATTATTCAATGTTCGAACGAGAGATGTGCTCTGATCGTTCGTAAACGGTACATTGTTTTCTCCACGTAAAACGTGGCTTATAGATCTCTTTTTCGTCGCGATGTAAGACATTATTGTTTGTTGTGCAGAATGCATCTTGGAGATTTTCCACGGGAGGTGAGAGTTGATGAACACGTGATACTAGAGAGGCCTAAATGTGCAGATCCAAAGGGCAAAGGAATCCTTGGCGTGTTCGGACTCAAATTGCTATTTTGCCTCTACTTCTTCCTAGTCTTATATGTTCTGAAAAGTAAACATACACTGATTAGAATATGCTTATCTGCAAGAAAAATAAGATTTTTAATTGATATTTTTTATTTCAGAAATTATAGATCTTGAGTATTTTATAACTCTGAACTAAAAATATTATATATAAATATGACTTTATATTGCATAGAAAGAAAGATTTGTGGAAAGAGGATTTGCTCAGCCTTGTGAACTAATTCTATACCGTAATTTTAACAGCGTGTGCTGTTTAAACTTTAACAGTTATAGAATAAGTTTATTCTAGCATTATTTACATACCATAATATCAAGACTAAACTTGGATATAAACAGATACTGTTGACACTTGTGTCAACAAAGTATAAACAAATAAGGACTTAAATTAAATATAATTAAATTTTTCATTTTTCAAAATATAAAAAAGAAAATTTAAATTATATATTAAATAAATATTGAATGATATATTAAATTATATATTAAATAAATATTGAATTTTCGTTGAGATTTCCTTAATATTCTATTTTTACGAAAAAAAAAATTAAATTTTGTTTAAAGAGAATGCTTGCCATTATTACCGTTGGAAAACTACTGTCGGCACGTCGCAAGACTATTACAATAAGTACCCTTGCAAAATATACAATTTTTATTTTAAACATTTTCTTTCTAGATCCAGCATTTTTTATTAAACATTAATATTAATTTGATAGATAGCCAATTTATAGTATTATGTAAAATATAACTCATTCGGCTAACTCGAAATGTTTTTCCTCTAAAATGCTGAAAAAATCAACCGACCGAGCTAATTATTTTTCCTAATTCGCCTATTTTTTTTTATGAACCTTACCTTATCACTGTAAACTCAAGCAAGAATTTATTTGACTCTCCAAGGCTCGACTAATTATTGAAGGGACGATTTCTTATCTACAGCCAATTACAAAAGCGCGCTCGTTACACGCCTATATGTGACTCCGGATCAGAATGTAATCGGAAACGTTTCTTCAGATACAACATATCATAGATAACATATATTATCGGGGATATCAGTCTATGTGTATGGATCGATAACGGCGGGGAAAACGGCGAGCGTGCCGCGGGAAACGTCGCGTGAACGGGCACGACGACGCTTACGTTCCTCGCGGCGGGCATGTTTCGATCGTCGGGCGCGTCGATGCGACTCCATAGCGAGCGCGTGCGATTATTCAGAGGTTGATTTTAGCTTGTGACGTAGAATCAGTCATCGATACGGAGAGTCCGAGAGTCATCCGCGCGCGCACACACATACACACCATATTGCGCATCGCGTCGCGTCGCACGCTCGCGCGCCGTACGTCACGTATAATACATGCATATGTACACACTCGCAACTTACGTGAAATAGAACAGTCCTCGTAAACGACGACGACGTCGCTATCCTTACACCACGACGGCGACAGTTCCTCCACCAAAATATGATCGCAGGTCGTAGCCCTTTTACACCACAAATCAGCGCCGGTGTTGATTCCACTTGATTTCGCAGAGGCGAGGGTGTTTATCTCAGACGGGTACATTTTTACGGAACACATGTTTACGAGATACTTAAGCGGCCATCTTCTGCTAAAATGAGACTGTGGTCGGAGCGGTGCCAGCAGTGGACGCCAGCGGCGCTGGTGGCGCGGCCACCAGCCCAGCTGGACGGCACCGGGTGGGGAGGAGAGACGCGCATGCGCGAAGGCCGCTTCTCAGGCACGTGCGATCGGAGCATCGAAGAGGACCCCCCCGCCACGCTGTCATACAAGATCTATATTGACTATATTGCATATAATTAAATGTTCCACGCATATATTTTGATCGCATATCCAAAATATACTTTCGTTTTAGAAAAAATGTTTCGGATACGAAGTTCCGCGGTTTCCAAAGGAGGACACAATGCCGCGAATTTTTTATGCTTGTGTCACTCAAGGAACATATGATCCTACACTTCGGTCGACGCAAAAATGTTTTCTCGATCGTGTCTCTCGTCCTATCCCGCGTCACGCCGATTATTCCGTTTTGATTGAGCGAGATGAATTAATTGGAAGGAAAATCAGGAAGGCGCAGTCGCTTTAAAAAAAAAAATAAGATGTGGGCCGATCGGACACGATCGACCATGCGGTTAGGCACAAACCTGGTGAAACGGTCACGTGCTCCGGTCGCCGTTTACCGGGAGCGAAAAAGAAATCGTGGCAAGCGTATACGTGGTATAAAAGCGGGTTTTTAAAACTTTCTATTGGTCGACAATTCTGAATTGTTACACAGGACAATGCACATCGTCGCGTGACGAATCCTTCGTTTGACAGTGCGATTGCACGACCTTCGAATGACAACGTAGGAATGTTGGGGGAAAAAGGAACGAAGAGGAAACGGAAAAAATTTCAGGATATATCGAATTTCGAGCATACGGAAAACATTTCGATATTATAACGATCTTCGTCGACACGATGACTTTAGACTAAAGATCCAACTATTTAATTATTCTCTGATTCAAAGGTCTCAGCGTCAAGAAGTCTGGAAACGTCGAGAAGATTGAATAATCATATTATTGTTACCTGTAAAAATAAGTCGAGTCATCATGTGCTCTGACTGTCAGATGCTATAAAACAACGTTAAATGACGAACGAATGTCGTTATCTGTCGTCATCTAACGTCATACCGCTTCCGGTCGAATTTATTTCGATGGCAAAAATTGGATCGCCACTAAATGCACCAAATACATATATATATCCATATAATCACGCGCTAATTACAATCGAGTTTTATATATATCGTTCCACTGACTTCTCACTTTTTGCGCTTTTATTTAGATATGCAATTCCATAAGAGACAATGACCGCGGATTCGAGAGTGAAAAGTCGGTGAAGGAAAACGAACTACTCGACGTAACAGCTAAGGCTTTTTTTACACGATCCTTTCTCCCGTAATGCCGATCTGTTATTGCATGTATACATTATAGATTCGCGAAGGCGAATTCACGCGAAATCGCTTCCAGAAAAATTCTATAATTCGATTCTAGAAAAACGAGATAGACGCATACATTCCGAAGATTTTTCTCGCTTGTACCCCGCTTCTACATTTTATAATACACAATTTTTTTATTTCGTACGTTGCATTTTCTTGTAACTGCAATGAATTGTGTCGGCACGTTCAACGTATTTATTTCCTTTGTCGATTCAAATTCCCATGAGAAACTGCCTACTGCGTTGGCATAGGATGAAAAAGAAAAATTTGTTTAGAATGGCAGGTATATACATACATCCTGTGTGCTGGAGTTTTGGTATTCAGTTTAAAAAGAATTTCGATTTTCAATGAAAAAAAAAAGAGAAAGCAAGCGGAAGGAAATAAATTTATCTTTATGATAAAAATCGAGTTTGCAGTTAAACAATTCGTAATTTAAAATAAATGATTAAAAAAGTCAGAACAGTGTATTAATTAATTGGAATGTGCCACCTATACAGAGCAGTTTATTCGAGAAAAATCCTGAGAACGTAATTCTTAGGAATTCTTATCTTGTATTTATGTATGTATGTACGTAAGCTGATAATACATTCCATTACTCTAAGTCCAAAAGCTAGCCCGAGGCTATTCGAGGACAAAAGAGGGCCATACAGATGCCCCTGGAGGTCCGGAAATTAACCTGAGAACTGAAGGCTACATACGTCTTTTTTCCTATTTCAATTACACGACCCTAGCTGTTTTCAAGTGAACAATAGGAAACATATGGTGAAGGATCGAGAGAAGGTAGACAAATGAGAAAAACCATCAATGACAAACGTAGCTCGCAGCTTCAAGTCTGAAGAAAAAATTTAACGAACGAATAGCCGATGTGTACGATATACATATGTAGAAAAAAATCAAAATTGGATAAATAAATTTTCGCTCCTCGAGCGGGATATATTATGACTAGAATAAATAATAATTTTAAGAATTTCATACACATTTCGCCTCTTTATGCGTTTAATCCGTATACGCTTTTGAATTACCGATTCGACTCTGAAATGTAGTCTTATTTTCTAATCTCAGCGTTTTCCTAAAGCTGGAAATTGAAATAATAGTTCTGTAAAACCCACAAAAATTATTATTACGCATAAGATCCCGCGGCGCGACGGCCGAAAATTATCGTCACCATGTGATAGATTTATCGGGCACTGCTCCACTGATCTGGCGTTGAGAACGATTTTCTAAGAATAGCCGGCGTGTGTCATCGTGAGATTTCCCATTTAAAAACAATTAGCTGATTCACGTATGCAACGCGTGACGAAATATTTCGCGGAACCGTGTCGCGGGTAGTACGTTACCCGGTACCACACATCAGATACAACGTGCGGATAAATATCTAAATATATATGAACGCGGACATTACATAACGCGAGTAAGTATACATACATACGTACGATATTCGCTGCCACCGATTACGAGATATCTCGCCGCGAGACGCGGCGAAAAGCGATATTTCGCGTAGATATTGTTTTCGTCGTCGTTTTCACGTTGTCCCAATGCTCTTATTTTTCCTCCATACTCGGGTTACTCAGGGTCAGTGAGTAACTTTCCAGCCCGACCCCTCCGCCTCTCCCGTTCCGCCCCCTCTTGTCGCCATCCATCTCTCACATACGCATACATGATTACTGTTAATGATCGTTTTGTTAACGGGCATTGCCGAACGTGTGCAAATCACGCCACGCGAATCGACGGAACAGTATGAGATTGTTGCGTCAGAAAACGTGAACGGAGACCGGCAGGACTTTACGATAGTAAACATCGAAGTCCAAGTGTTATAACACGCCGAGATACAATCTCGACAATCTGTGGAGTACCTCTTAACATTTTAATAACTAGGAATTCCTTTGTCATAATTTTTCGCTGCAGTATTAAACGTAGCATTGTGTATGACAGATTATATACGGAATTTTTCTTCAAATAGCTCTTCTGTTACAAGAAGCAGAAGAAAAAACGATACGCATTGTTAAAGCATATTGTTAAGAGAATAAATCACCGTTTTTTTTTCTTTCAGTAACAGAGTATCAGAGTACACTCCCAGTAAACAAGAAATATTAAATCTACTTTTTAAAATGATATTACGTATATTTTTTTCATCATTTTTGCATATTTAGTAAATATTTACAAATATTGTATAATAGTATGGTTTTAAAATTATTTTTTAAATATTTTAAAAACATGAATTGAACACAAACACGATATGAATTGCAATATTTGTAATATTAACATTATTGAACCCTCAAAATCAATGTCTAAGTTCATTCATAAAAACGTTGTACACAACATTAAATTCAACAAATTTAAAAACGTTATATATTATTAAATATTCATTGTAAAAAGATCGTAGTGATGATTTTTTGCTTACTGGGCTGATAATTACAATATTCAACAGAAAAAGCAGCTTTGTAACTGTTGTAAAATTTTTTAACATCATTAGTTTATACATTTAAAATCCAGTGAGGAACTAACGATAAAAATGGTAAAACGGTAAAAAAAAAATCTTACAACAGTTGTGTGCAAAACTAATTTTTCTGCCGAACGTAGCCATTGATTAATTTTTCGTAAAATATGTAAAGACCGATTCTTCCCTCGATTCGATTAATTAATGTAAATAAGCGGTTTCGTGTCGTGCCCACCGCGCTCGCAAAGACAGCGTTCGATTTCTCTGTGACTTTATTGCAAATATACATACCGAACCTCTGTCTCGGACAAGAATCAGAAATAAATTTACACGTAATCTCTCTATTTTTTTTACACTCCATCGTAATAATGTAAGACTATATCGAAAGATGATAAAATGCTCACAGATATTGTACGCCAATACCAAATTGAAATTGCTGGAGCACGTCGCTCCTCATGAACAACAACGGTGTAACTAGGTTCAATTCTATGCGGGCGATGTTCCCCAGCCTCATCGCGATGCCGCCGCCGATGGCACAGCGGACGTTCTCCGTGAAAATCTTCATGTTTTCATTGTACAGATTACCTGAAATTTTCGAACGCGCATAAGCATCCGAATTAATAAAATATATTAACGAAATTGAGCAATTAAAAAATATACTTTTTGTAAGCAAAAGATTAAGACTGATATGAATGCAAAAATACAAATGAAAAAATAAATTATTCAGAAACTAGTTGCGCAATGAATTCTCTTTTACTTCTTAAATCTCAATTTCATTTAGAACAATTGTGAATGTAATTTGAAAATTTCAAAATATACTTTTTGTAACCAAAAGATTAAGACTGATATGAATGCAAAAAATACAAATAAAGAAATAATTATTAAGAAACAAATTGCGCAATAAATTCTCTTTTACTTCTTAAATCTCAATTTCATTTAGAACAATTGTGAATGTAATTAGATTTCAAATTAGAAGGTAAAATAGGCCGATCAATTTCTAACGGGGAAACTTCTATGTATTGATGGTAGCTGCTACTCGTACTTACTTCGCTCACCGTACGTAAAGTTGGACAAGTTACCGCCGTTGATGAAACCGTGCAGCCTAAATAGATCCCCGAAACTGTTACGACCGGGTCTGAACGGGAGCGGGGTGTACACGTGAAGGGCGGCTGCCCAATACATCTCGCCGCCCACGGAATTCCCTTCGGAGCGAGGCCCGCATCCTCTCATGTCGAATCCGCGTAGATTCAGGGGACCGCCCAGGAAGAAGTGATCGGCGATACTTATTTTCATGTCGTTACTGATTGCACTCAACAGCCCAGACTGAAGACCCAGCTGGAATGTCTGTCCGAAGGTGGAAAATTCGCGATGAAAGTTCACGTCACAATATAAAAAAATTGTCGGAAGGACCGGAAATAAGGAACGTTCCAAACGAGAGAAATCAAGCACTCACAAGGTACTCGTGGGGCGACCAATTTGTCTGTATGGCGAGCTCGTTCTTCAAGAAACCGATGTCGCCACCCAGGCCGGCCATCTCCGTCGTTAGTCGCATGAGACTCCCGGAAACGGGGAATATAGGCGAGTCCCTCTTGTCTATCGTCCAGATGTACCTGAGCGCGGATTTCAAATTCGGGCCGCACTGCTCCCGGACGCGGAAGGCCGCCTGTTTCGAGCAATTGATGTTCCTAAATGCAGCCTCGTATTGTATGTTGTGCTTGGAGGTGTCCGTCTGATTGAGCTCAATGTCGAACATCAGCCCCTTGTCGTTCTGCTTGAAACCCGACCACGGGAAATCGTGCGTCGTGCTGAACACGGTGCCGGTTAATCTGCAAAGCGTCCAAAAATCCAGCTGGTTAACGCGACGCCAATAACGTGCGCGAAGCGGCGTCTACAATGAGACTTGAGAAAATTGACCGATCACAGTCGATTATTTATCTCACGTGAGAAGAATAATCAATTGCGATTGACCAATTTTCTTAAATCTCAAGTCTCATTGTAGTCGCCGCTTTGCAAGAATTAGATGCGGATATCCCGACTCACACTGCGTTGTACAAGCTCTGCGGAAACGGTTTAATGGCGGATACATTGAAGTTGATCGAACTTTTGTTACCGTGTGAGTACTCCATCTGGACACGTTCCGCCCGGCCGAACAGATTCGGCGCCCTCGCGCCGACGAGCAGGGATCCCTCGTTGTTCCCGACCATCGTGCTGATACCGCCGACCAAACGTCTCATTTCGCGTACCTTGAAAGTGACCTGGCGACGAAGAAAAACATGACACACTAGTGAGCATTGCGGATGAAGCGCGTACTCGCATGCGGCGTACGAGAGCAATGAAAACCACCGCGTTACGTTTAAATCTGAAAAATTACTTATTCTCTGTCGAATTAATTGTTTTTAATTTATATAGACCCACTTCAACACCGTCAGGGGTGGCGTCGGATCCGTGACTGGTGTCGATGTAAATTCCAATATTCCTAAAGCATCCCAAAGCGTCAAGCCTCTCCCGCACTTTGTAAGCGCGTATAATAACATCCTCGAAATTCGACGCCTTAAACAAGTCCATCACCTGCGACTTGATTATGTCGTCCTTCGTTCGTACAAGTCCATCCACGTGTATCTTGTCAACTCGTGCCTGGCGGGAGCGAAAAAAAAAGAGCAAATTTCAAAATCCACGCACACATACGATTAGCAATGTCATATGACTAGTGACTGCTATCTGAATAATTTTATTGGCATACCTGCACTGTCTGCAGAAGTATGTTGTTTGTCTGCTCATTCTCATCTTCCCTATGCAACTGAGATTTGCTACTGGAAAATGATGGCTGCAGGAAGAACAATGAGACATTAATAATTAATTCTTAAAGCGAAGAAACTTATACATAGAGACTAGAGTTCACTCAGCAGGGACAGAGACTTCCTTATGGAGGGTACGGAGCTTTCGCACACTCTGAGATCCCATGGGTGTGGAATTCCATGTCCTGAATTCGGGGTATTTAAAAAAAATGTTTTTAAATAATTATTTAAGTGAGCTAGTTCTTGCGTGATATCTTGCGAGACAAAATTAAACAAAAAATATTCATATTTATAAAGAAAAAAATATGAAAAGAAATTAAATATAGAAGTAGAAATATATTTTGACATGTAACAGAAAAGATAAAATATTTGTTGTTACACCTCCCTACCACTTTTCGACGCTTAGTGAGGTACTCCACACTCAGAAAATTCCAAAGTCTCTGCCTCTGCCAGGCAGAATATAATAAAAAATATGAATTAGTTTTATCACGCAAATGTCATAGACATACAAAGTCGTCCTTTGCGGGGTCGTTTGGTGGGTCATTGCATTTATTCGCGGAGGCGTTCTCCTTAGATAATTGACCCAGGCCTGAGGGATTATTGGGTTCCTAAAAAAAAAATAAAAAAAATATCCGCCTGTTAGATCACATTTGTACTCAACACACTCCTTAGTAAACATCTACAATATACGAGCTACGTGAAATTCATCAAATCCAAAATCGTCACCGATTGAATATCACGAGTATTCGGAATGAAAATTAAAATTATCTCGATGTATTATTATTAGAGATTATCTCATTCGGAGCGGATCCCAAATGCGGATTTTAGGTTATGCCGTAACCTAATAATAAATACGTGCCTTAGCGTGGACGGTGCCCATTATTTCGTCGGCGAGTTTCTGCCTCCCTTTTTCACACGGCCGCCGCGCTAAAATCTCATGCCAGAATCCGGTGCGACGACGTAAAAAACGTGTCGGGTAAACGCACACACGCGAACCTACAATTTAAGGACATCGAACGCGGAAAAAAAACATGTATCGCGGACCGCGTGCCGATCACCGGTGCGATCGCAGCACCACGTTAGAACGCGGACACGTGATACGTCCCTTTCATAGAGGGTGCTCGAATTGTAATCAACAATTTGAAATTTTGTGCAATCAAACTTTTTTTTCGTGTGCGCACTAAAAAACAAATGTATTACCGGAGAAAAATTAATGCCCTTTTCATAGAGGGTGTTCGAATTGTCAACGATCTGAAATTTTGTGCGATCAAACTTTTTCTTGCGTGCACTAAAAAAAGAATGTATGACTAGAGAAAAATTCATATAAATTATAAGTAGCTTACAATGATTGAAAAATTAAAGCTAGAGAGTTCAAGCGGTATTTAATTAGCGCTTACAACAAATGATAAATTCTTTTATCACATTTTCTCGCCAGAAATCATCTCTTTTTTTGCGTGCACTAAAAAACAAATTGTATGACTGGAGAAAAATTAATACATTTAAATAGCTTACAATGATTGATAAATTAAAGCTGGAGAGTTCAAGCGGTATTTAATTAACGCTTACAATAAATGATGAATTTTTTAATCATATTTTCTCGCCAGACGCAAAGCGATTGTATTTTGCTCGATTGACTGAGGAGAAAAGATATCAGAATAATTTTCAATTATTCTTTCTTCTTTTATTTAAAATATATATAATATATATATATATATATATATATATATATGTTTGATTATAAACTTGAGATGTATATCCTTATTATGTAACAATAAAATATTGAAAGAAGGAACAATTATAGTTTAAAATCTCTTAGAAAGAATATATCTGCAAATATCTCACAGTACAGTGATCTAATAATTATTTAAACAAGCCTGAGATTCTTCCCAAAGATATCCCCGTATATTTTATATAATCTTTCTGAGAAAAGTCCGTGTTTTTACCATAAAATATATACCGATATATAAAATCTTCGGCTATACGCAATTCAGTTGATCTCTTATTATACACAATATATCTTTTATCTTGTACCCAATGATTTACTTCGAATACGGTAATAAGGAGTAATTTTTAATCGTCAATACCGAATGATACATTTAATTTGTGATGTTTGTAAATTGTTGGTCAATATAGTCACTGTGCGCGTAAAATTTATAGAGATCACATCTAATACTGGCAGGCATTTATGGCATTTGTGCACAATGCTTGCTACATTAATCACATGTGTATTCCGAGTTGATAACCGAATGACGATATCATCGAGCCCATCTTCGCCGAAATGAAATCATTGGCTACAACAGAGATCCTTACATATATCGCATATTTCATTATTTTACATAACGTCATAAAAATAATAGAAACTTATAGTAAAAATGTATAACTCAGAAACGTTGCTAACAACAATAAAATTGCGGGTTTGTGATAAAGTTAATATACACTCCCAGATAAATAACAATTATAATCAATATCAATATTGCAATAATATCGTTTAGAAAAATTCACTATTGGTCGCAATATGTATATAGATGCATATACTTTAATATCGAATTTCAATTCTGTTAACACGTTGTCTGCCTAGTGAATCTTGTGTCCTCACATAAATGTCATAGTAATATATTTTCGACATTTTCGTCATCGTCAGCAAATAAAGTAAATATTATAAACAATACGATTAAATAAGTCACATCATCTTGTTAAATTCCGTCCTTTCTACTTTGCACTGTCATCCAGCTGTTTATGTTTCAAATATTATATTAAACGACACTTATTTGTTACAATCATTTTAAAAAATTTGGTAGCAAAATTTCGATGCTATTAAAGATGCTATTAAAAAGCCAGGCGCGAGTGTGATCACCATGGCAATTAACGTGTTAATAAAGTTTATAAAATTTATAGAGATTCTTATTTCGCTATAAAAAATATAGCATAAATTTTATATGGCATCTGTTACAATTAGATAGCTAGAGGTAATTAAAATGGTGGCCTTTGCATTGAAAATATACTTTCAATGTGTACATATATATACATTACTTCTAAAAATAATATCCCTCTTCGTCAGATCTTTAGAACAAAGTCCGTATTTATCACGACTAGCGAAAAATCACGATATTATTTAAGTGATGCAAAAAGTTTTGACATTCTTTCATTAAATTACAACTTTTAAAGCTACTGATAAGTCTTTTAAAAATCAGATAAAAATCTTCGTCCTCTTTTTAAATAAAAAAATTCTATTAAAGTAGTGACCATTGCAATTAATAGAATTTTTTACAAAAATAGCCTTTTTAGAAATTCTTTGAATTCTATTTTTCGGCACAGAGACGACGAACTTTTTGCACCGACCTAATAAGTTTTCAAAAAAACCTATGCTACTCGCGAATCCCACAGATTTTATGAATCCTTGGTATCTATCAGATCACAATTGGACTGACGCGCGGAGAGACGGGCGAAACAGGGCTCCCGTGGATCTCCAGATCAAATTCCGAAGTTGTCATCATGTTTCCCATGACTCGGTTCCATCTGTCGGCACTCTCGTTGGCAACCACGTATGTTTTCTCGATTTTTGACTCTACACCATTGCCGGGCCGCCCGCAAGCTCGTTGCGTCTCTTGATGTATAATAATTTCGTTGGTGATGTACGCTTCGCGACGTATCCTATTGCGTAACTTAGAACTCATATCAGGAATGCACCACCGTATAAGGATCATTACGAGTGCCACAATATTCTGCAAAATTACGCGAATGTATTACAATTATCTTCCCTATTTGTTAAGTGAAAATAAAAAAAATAGATCGATGTAAAATGCAGATATTTTAAAATTAGAATTCGGATAAAAAGGAAAAAAAACCGTACCTCAAAAACGACGACAAAAGCCAGTCTAGCCGCCAATATATGCCAGAACATGATGTTGTACTGGTACTTGTTTAGCGAGTCTGGTGGCTCTCTGTAATCTGGATAGCGGCAGATCTCGACCGGAGTTCCATTCAACGTCATATTTGACTGACTGCTTTTCAGATCGATAGTATCGAATTTTGATAGAGAATGATCTAGGTAACCTTCTAGTGAATAATTATCCGAAATTGTTATACGATAAACTAGCCGCGGTATAAAGTTCGAAGTAAAAGCTATGATGAATGCCTAAAAACGGAAATGTTTGTGCTGTTGAGCAAAATTATATTTTAGATGAAAGAATTATATTTTGTGAAATAATGTTTCCAGTTACAAAATACTTTGTATATATGATAAATTTCAAATCACATCTCTTCAAAAATTACATCAGCTGTTAAAATTACGAAACTTACGTTTGTGATGACGGACAATTTAGAAATTGAATCGAGAATGCGATACCATATGCCTATGTCCCTGACACGCTGTCCAACTGGCCTCCTGTATATGGTCAACAATTTTTTCGCGTCCAATCTCATCTCGAAAACGTTATTCAGCAATGCAAAGAATGGCGCTAATGGAAACGCAGCAACGAAGATGGTAACAAATCCGTATTGGAGCACTAAAAAAAAGAGTAAAATTATAATTATAATTACATTTTTTTCGAGAAAAATTTTCGGCTACCATTCCATCGTATATCTCTAGTATACATAATACTTTAATCACATAATTATTTATTATTTAGTATAATAAACAATGTTTCGTTTGTATTTACCCATTTCTAAATATTCAGGAAAAAGACTTCTAGGTCCCCACTGGACTAATTTATAATCTCTGACCCATTGCAAATATTTTCGAGACGAAGATCTTTTGTCCGGGTCAAACGTTTTCGAGCCCATGTGAACTTTCAAGGTGTTCATCCACTTGTAAAATAGCGGATAGAGCATCTCCAAGATAGTATTCATGGCTTGTTTGCCGATCATAATGATGCTGAGTTGGATGCACAATTCCAAGAGACAACCGCCCGGTCCGCACTCCTCTTGTCGAGAGCCCAAGAAGCGATTATAATTTCCTGGATAACCGGTGAATTTCCCTTTGAAAAACGCTATGTAAAATATAGAGGCGTAATAATTTACAAATTCCAATAAATAAATTTTCAGAGTCAAGCTATCGTCAAACTCGGTCTGAGTACGAAGTAACTCAATCTGAAAATAACAAACAAGAATATTTATTAATTAAAATTAAACTTAATTTATTAATTAAACTATTTTATATAACTATCTTATATAACTAACTAGCTAGAAAGATTCCCAGAAATAATCAACAATTTTAATATAATAGGCTAATGCGAATCGGCGCGGTAATTATTGCGCAATAATTACCGCGCCGATTCCCATCCCATAATTAGCCTATTATATTCGAATTGTTAAGAATATTTATTTATTAAGCCCATAAAAATATCTTTAAAGTCTTTATTTTCAATGATTTACTTTAAAAATTATTAATTATCGATATATATGTCAAAAAATAATTTAATTCAAATTACCATAATATAATTATTATATTAATGTGTTAATAGATAGGTAAACTCCTTAGAAAAATTACCTCAGTCAAATATTCTGCTAGCCAACCGTAGAGCCAATTGAACAAAATAATGCAAAAGAGATTGATGCACGCGGCGGTCGCCGTAGTGAACAATATAGCATGGCTATTTACCACTGGGTGTCCCGAAACGCTTAGCGCAGTTAAAACCGACATTCTGTACAGAACTACCCCGAGAATCGCAGCCATAGCTACAACTATCTGTAAAGTTATAAGACCAAGTTATAAGTTTTTTTTTTATAAGACAATATAAATATTATTAAAGATATACGAAATTATATTCTCACGAATACTTTTCTAATAGCAATTTCTGTTTAATATTGTAGGAATTAAACGTACCAAAAGTAGAACAACAGAAAAACTGAGAATCATAGCGGGCAATCTCATCTTCCAGAACGACACTTTCGGCTCCTCCGCATTCGTAACAATATTGACAGACTTCTTTTTAACATGCGCAAGCCGCGCTAAGTACAATGGCCTAGGATATTCTTCTTGAGCATCTAAACCAGTCAAATCCCATCTGTGGGTTATTTCGGCAGAATATTTCTTCCATAGTTCAAGGAATAATGTGGCTATAAACATAATTATACTATGTCATATAAAAGTTATTCAAATATGCAGTAATTAATTTTACAAGTTATTCATTGATTTAGCTATTATTGATAATTCCAGCATACCCCATAATGACATAAATATAGAGAAAAACACCGTCGATGGATTGTCGAACAGATATGTGATCCTCGAGTGCAAACACGTCTCCTTTAGATCCCAGTAACCACAAAAATAATCGCACAATGGACACATCTCGATAGTACCGTTACCATTACAAATATCCTCGCTCGGTTTATTGTTGTACAAAGTGGCACAGCTGTATATAAAGCACAAAAGGCCGACGACACTCGCTGGGATTAGCATGTGAGTGTAAAATCCCAGCCAGGCGAAATAAAGCCCGATCTTCACTCCAAAGTACTCCTTGATGTAATCCAAGGGCTGATAATGAAGGCATTTTCTCAAACTGGCCCATTCGCTGTACAAAAGATACCGCATTGAGTCTGGAGTGTGCAGACTTCCCTGAAACATAAATAACACGCTTATGTATATATATATATATGTATACCGAGTGTGAGTCATTTTTCTCTCAGAATAGAATTTTTATAACTCTCGAACCGCTGTAGTAGAAATAAGATGAAATGATGACTTACATCATGAAGCGGATACGCCGCAACGTACGCGTGCTCGGATATCAGTCGTTCGACACCAAACGCGAAATCGTCCTCCTTGGTCTCGGTGAATCTGGTTCGGTCCAATATAAACTGCACGATGCGCGAGCGAGTTGCCGACGTGAAAAAATTGGGCGAATCGAGATCGAATAAATAATCCTTGTCCCTGCTGTACACCGCCGTGAAGTTCTGCTTCATCGTCGGGAAGATAGCCGTGTCGACGTAATATCGGTTCATAATCCGTCGAAAGAGCGAATTCACCTCCTTGATAATAATGTTGCTGCTCGTCTCGTGCATTTCGTAGCAAGGCAATTCTCTCATTGGCAGTCTGAGCTTCAATATCTCGGCGTACCGACGCAAGACCTCCTTAGGCGCGTGAATCTTTATGAAGTGCAAGCCGTTTGACTCCGCTTGCTCGTACTCCAATTGCACTCCTTCTTTCTCCAGATTCTTTTCAAATATCTGAAAGTAAAGGCGTGAATATCTCGTGAGTGACAGAACATTATGACACGTACGTTATTTAAAATAATAATTCGGTAGTTACCCTCCTACGTTCGACATTGCGATAGGCCTGTGCTTCTCCGTTATACTCGTCCCACACGAGTACGAAATCAACTGAGCGTATTTCATCACGAAAATATAAACTGTATCTCGTACCGGAAGAATGAGAGAGCTGGAATATCACATTCAAAATATTACAATATTTTTTTAAAAACATAACAGGTAGTACAATAAACAGTTCTACCTCCAGTTATGCAAGACTAAGAATTCAATAGTATTTTTTAAACTTAGAAATAACTTTTAAAAAATCAATATTTTTGTTTAATGCAATTGTAAAGTAAAATATATATCATCTATCAGTTATCTATCAGTATATCATCAATCTCCAGTTATGCAAAACTAAGAATTCAATAGTATTTTTTAAACTTAGAAATAACTTTTAAAAATTCAATATTTTTGTGTAATGCAATTATAAAGTGAAATATGTATTATCTATCAGTTATCTATCATTATATCATCTATCTCCAGTTATACGGAACTAAGAATTCAATAGTATTTTTTAAACTTAGAAATAACTTCTAAGAAATTAACATTTTTGTTTAATGCAATTATAAAGTGAAATATATATCATCTATCAATTCTAACTCCAGTTATACAAAACTAAGAATTCAACAGTATTTTTGAAACTTAGAAATAACTTCTAAGAAATTAACATTTTTGTTTAATGCAATTATAAAGTGAAATATATATCATCTATCAATTCTATCTCCAGTTATACAAAACTAAGAATTCAATAGTATTTTTTAAACTTAGAAATAACTTTTAAAAAATCAATATTTTTGTTTAATGCACTTATAAAGTGAAATATATGTCATATGATAATCAAATATAAATGAAAGAAAATACAATTTCATATTTATCATCTTACATATAGAATCACAGAACACAATGAAAAAATTGATTATTACCAATCTTGTGTCGTGTGTATTATTTTTGGTAACTTGGTCTGTGTAACTTCCGTCTATAACTGTTTCGTTTGTGCCATTGTTCGCCGTAACGGAAATGGACGAGTCGTCCGTATTATTCGTGGGGTAGACGTCCAAGGAGACGGCGCTGCGCATACTGTTCACACTCATAGCGTCTTCGTACAAGGTGTTACGGACGCTCTGATACAACGTCTGCTGCGAGCCCTGATTCAGGCTGTTCTGCACCGACTGATACACGCTCGATCCAGGATTGCTGCTTTCATGACGTTGCGCGCATGTAAGAGAAACCTTCTCGTCATCCTCTTCCATCGCATCAATAAATTCGTCGATTGTCAAGGTCAAGCCCTACTTTGTGCAAAACCAAACAAAACGTACGCAGCTGCATCATGCAAACCCAGGGAGGGAGAAAGAGAGAGATCAGAATTGCGTCGCGATCATGCGATCATGATCAAGAAGCATGACCAACAAATCTCATCGTTATTTCCTTGTGTAATAATTAATGATTAATATCTCAATGCAACGATTCGAACAGCAACAAGTGAAAATCTGTCATCGAGAGACTTCCCACGTGTTTTTTGTAACTTTGCAACATGTGCATGTTCTCCATTCTCTAAACATTGCATGTATCTTAATTATCGTGTACACATGCGTATATGTGTATGCGTATAATGACGATGAAAACGATTAGAAAATAGAAATAAAGAGTCTGCTGTTTTCACTTGCTAAAGCTAACCAAAAAGTGTTGACGTGCCTTCGAGATCAAGCTCGCGCCGGGAAAAATGCAATCACAACAATTGATCAGCCCATTGTTCTAAAAAACTGTGCTCTCGACTGTTTCACTTTACTTTTTTTTTTTTAACCAGCAATGTAATCGCGGAGTGTCAAAACTCACCTAACGCTGCCCGCGGGTCCATTCACCGCGCCGAGAGCGATACCGCCACGTTTATCTCTCTCTGGAAGACTCTCGCGAACCTTTAATCGCTCTTGCGAAAGGTACGTACGGCTGCGTGTCGTTGTTGCAAAAGAAAAAGTAAAGTAAGAATACCGCAGTTATCATTGTTTTCGCTACATGACGCGAACTTCGAGACGACAAGTTACATGCTGTGTCACATACCGAGGCGATACAGGCGTACGTCACACGGCACACGCGTGGCCGTCTCCTTTTAGAGACCACCCCAGTGACCGGCGATCGCGGGCGATCGCGGGAGCACCGGGCCAGTAGTGTGCACACGCACGCGGGGCTCATGGGGTTCCGTAAATCGTAGCTGTTGCTAAGTCATGACAATTATGGATTGAACCTTCAAGTTATATTCGTCTTATTTGCTGCACTGTGCTTACGCCTCGCGTGCAAACGTAAAAACTATACATTGTTTGTTCAATTTTTTTTACTATGTGAAACAAAAAAATTTTTAATTACGACTTATTCCCTTCCGCTTCCTATTCACTTAATAAATTCATCGATTGTCAAGGTCAAGCTCTACTTTTTGCAAACCAAACAAACACGCGTGCATCATGCAAATTGCAAACCTAGGGAAGAGGAAGGGGGGATAGAGATCAACGCGATTAAAAGGCTTTGCAATCACGCGATTAAAAGGCGTGAAAAAAAATTCCTATTATTTTATATATGTAATAATTAAAGATTAATATCTCGATTCAGCGATAAGTTTAAGTCTAAAAAAATTATTTGTTAAGTTTATTAAATAATTTATTTATGTATTTTAATACAGAGAGAACAGACGATTTATATCTCGTTCGCAAAAAATAATGAATGTAATCGAAATATTTCGAACCGTTTTGATCGTAAATGAACAAATAAAAAATATGAAATTTTAAAAAAATGTTTAAAAATAAATGTCTAATAATGACTTGTAAGAAATGATGAATGTGGATGATATTCAATATACCGTTTTGCTCGATAAACGAACAAAAATATTATAAAATCTACATTTAAAAAAATCTAAAAATAAATTTTGTAAGAGATTCCTCATCTCTTACAAAAATATAAAATCTACATAAAAAAATGTAAAAATAAAATCTAATAATTTTAAACTTGTAAGAGATGAAAAATCTCTGCTGTGGACTCAGCAGAGATTCCTCCTACAAGTCTAAAATTATTAACTTTATTTTTACATTTTTTTTCCTCTTCCCTGGATTTGCAATTTGCACGATGCACGCATGTTTGTATGGTTTGCAAAAAGTAAAACTTGACCTTGACAATCGATAAATTTATTAGACATTTTTTTATTTTATTTAGTTAAAAATGGTACATTTCGATTGTATTCATTTTCTGCAAACGAAATATAAATCTTTCTCTTCTCTCTGTATTAAATTATACAAAATAAATCATTTGACAAACTTAATATCTGTATAATTAAGTGATAATTTCCGCGACTGATTAATTACTTGTAAATTGCGCATCGTGTAATAACCACATCTAGACAAGAAACGTACGCGTAACGTCGGAAGTGAATTTCCGCAGAGATACTACACGCTATCGTAGGAAATATTCCATTTAACTTGCTCCCCAGTTCGTTTTGTTGCAGCGTTATTTTGTAAATAAGAAGTTTATTCAAAATTCGTATACAAAGCGTCCGACTTTGTATTATTTTTCAGTAACAAAATCTGGTGCTAATTTGAGTTGAACCATACAAATATTTTATATTCCTCGTATATAAATATTATATTTACATATAATTATATAGCTTTGTGCGAAAAATGTATGCCTTATTTGCCAGTTTATTAGCCTACAAACACGTTTGCATGTGTTTAATAAAATACTTATTATTGAAATATGTGGATTACATAAACAGATCTTAATTGAAACAACTTTATATATATATATATATGTACATTATGTACAGGAAGTACACTTACCAATTCACTTAATAAAACGCAAATATATATTATACAGTTTTTCGTTCAAATCTTTCCATTTGACTGTCCAAATGTACACAAAATGTAAGTGAAATCAATTTGCTGCTCTGAATATTTTAATTAAAGGATAAATTTTTCTCTCAGCGGAAAATGAGCGTTTTGTAATCATACTTCCTGCATAACTAACGCATTGAGTTCTTCCTCCCCTGGACACAACACTGCATCAATGTTATAAAAGGCGGCGTGGAGCGTTATCATAAGCCAGGAAACTCCTGGAAACAAGAACAATACAGTTGTATTAATATAATTGTTTTTTTGCGTTGTAAAATTATATTTCGAAGATGCTCTTTCATCTACTTACCGAGTACCCAAAAGACAGCTGCATGTGCGCCAACTAGGAAAAATACAGGCAGTGAACAGATTCCAACTAAAGAGTACACCTGCGCCAGGGTTAGTCTGTGATTCAGTATCATCAATTCCTGCCTCGAGTGTCGCTGAGACAGCTTGTAACATATCCAGAGATAAACGGCAACTGTCAGCAACAACAGAGGTGAGGTGATTCTAGAAAAGAAAGTTACACATTTTGTTACATACAGTTGTATCAAAATCACGTTGAAATAATTAATGATTGTACTTGTGCATCTTCTTATGGCCATTTCTACCAAAGATGTAGCTTAACTTTAATCTTGGTTTAATGTATTTTGTATCTTTTTCTAGTTCTAAGAATTAGAAAAAAAAAGATGAAAAATAAAGCCGAGATTAAAGTTAATCTACATTGGCAGAAATGGACATTACAGATACTAAATTAGCGGATTAATGGAATACAAAGTACTTCTTACAAGCAATATATCACCAGCCCGATGAACACAAACAGGTAGTTGCTCTGGAAGTATTCGATGTTCTTCACGACCCGCTTGCCCAATCTGCTTATATTGGGCGGCGGTCTGATGTTGTTTGTGTTAAGGAACAACGACCATGGCCGAATGTTAGCTTTCCTGTGCTCGATCCAGTCGTGGGCTTGGGGATAGCCTATCTGTCCGAGCGGCAGTTGAGGTAGTTGCAGAAATTCGAATCTGCGGAACAGCGTGAGCAGAAAAATCGATTAACATGACATGATAATACATCAGATAATATGTAGGACAATGCAGAGTCTCTCGCACCTGTCCTGATTTTCTACTCTACTATACACTTCCGATTGCTTTTGTTCAAAATAAAAATTGCTTTCGCGAAATATGAATATTAATCAACGCGAAATTATTCGCGTTGATATCTTGTTGACGTGTATTGTTGACGTAAGCAACGCAGAGAGAAATCATAATTTAATTATCAGCTCGTCATGAATATTAATCAACGCGAAATTATTCGCGAAATTATTTCGCGAAATTATTTCGCAAAATTATTCGCGTTGATTAATATTCATGACGAGCTGATAATTAAATTATGATTTCTCTCTGCGTTGCTCACGTTAACACACAACGCGACGTTCGCTTGCAGGTTAAGTTAGGTGAGAATCTAAGGCAGAGCCAAAAAGGAGTTGCATATCCATTACCCGTTCGTAGTTTTGCGACTTTCCAGCGGGTCCTGCATCTCCCCCATCGGTACCTCCACGTGTGTCATGATTTTTTAGGGTAAACGATTCCTGTTCACTTCGAGAATATTATTCTTTGGTCCCGAACTGACACCTTGCCGTGTCGTCCGTATTCTGCAATCTGCTCGTATTTATTTAGTTCGTAGCTTTTCCGTTTATTTCTACGCCTCAGTCTTCCCTTTTCTTTCTTCTAAAAGTATGGACGCACAGACACATTATTTCCCTTCAATCAGCAGAAAACATGAAAAAACACTGCAGAACGAACGAATTTGATATAGCCAACGCTTATACCGGGTGGTCTCTAACTATTCATGCGAGGGGAACAGCTGAGAGCCAGCTGAGGCAGTTGCAGAAATTTAAACCTGCGGAATATTGTATAAGCAAAAAATCGATTAACATAATAGAGGTATTATATGTCAGATTAATATCGGACAGTGTGAAATTTTTCTACACGTCTTGATATTCTACTTTGCGCTTCCGACTTCTTAATTGTTTATCAAAATGCGCTTTCGCGATCAGATACGAATATTAATTTACGCGAAATGATGTCTGGCGACACTTTTTTCGTTATAACTTGAATATTCTAAAATAGTTGTTATTTCGCAACAGATTTCAGAAATGATATCATCCTGCATCTCCCTTCGGGGGATTGATAATACGGAATGGAAGGAAATATAAAAAAAAAATCGTTAAATTCGCGTATTGCGTTATAAAGACATATAGTTTTATAAATAATCGGGGATATTAATTGAAGTTTAAGTAAACGACAGAAATAAAATTTATGCTAAAAGAATAATTCGGAGCAAGGGAATAATTTTCTACAGTGACATTTAATGTTCATCTTTTTGGTAAAGAACGACCGTCGATTTAAGATTACTCACACGACTCCTTTAGTCTGCAGACCCTTATCCGATCGAGATAATGAGATATCCGTGTGTACACATCGGGGTAAAACGTGCAGCTTTCTCCGAAGCTTCGTGATACTCACCATCTCGAACATATGAAATTTTTTCGAGTCCACCTGCCAAGGCTCACCCGACGGCACCGTATTATTTTTTTTTTTTGCCATTAGGATTTAATTTACAATTTCCATGCTCGGCGAGACTCCGCGTGGCGAGACTATCGTCGAATTTCTATATAATTCATATCTCTCGTGCGAGAGGTTGATAATGATGTCAAAACATGCCTGCAGCATATTGTTCGATTCCTCTGATCGGTGATTCACATCCGCTCGGGCATTTCGTCATATTACTGAAATATAAACTCTATATTAGTAATATGACAAGATATATATTCGATACAGAAAGATCGAGTGTTAATTTAACGATCAACTATCTGATTTAATTAATACTATAAATGGTATAAATTTAAAAGTAATTTCTTGCGAGTTAAAACATTTTTTTAATAATTACGAGTTCTACAAATTATTATCTTGATTAGAATAATATAGATATAGAGCTAAACGTATGTCTCCCGAAGTTGTAAAAATGTAAAAAAAGTCCTGGGGAAATCGTTAAAAAGAAATACTATTTTCAATAAACTAAACTAAAAATAAAAATAATCATATCTAAAATAGTTGATTCGAGGTGGAGGGTGGAGAAAAGGGACGATAAAGGCGAAGAGGCGAGATATCGGCGTCCGCTGCCGCACAAGCCGTCCCTGTTCGCGATGCCTCTCTTTACCACGTTGGCCATCAGCCACAGGTTGCAGCTGCTCGACGAAAATTCCTTCGCCGTGAAACTCCTGTCGCAAGGACAAGTTCTTTGTTCTGCAAAAGAAGACAACTACTCCCACGAGGAGCTCCCAGGCGCAGGATCGGTCGTAAATACCGCGCCGTGAGATGCCCATCACCGTCGCAAGTCGTCCTTCTGCGTTTAATTAACAGCTAATAAATTCGAGCTCGACGGCCGATGAAATTGTCGCGCGCCGAGGTCCGCGCCAGCCCGTGCCCGTCGTTTAAAATCCTTCGGCCTTCGGTCCCGGGACGATGAGGCGGGCCTGACGGCGGGCCCAAAGAGATGAAATAGTCGGCGGCAGATGTCCAGCCGGGCCCGAACAGCTGCTGCTGCTGCTGCTGCAGTATCGCACGGTGTAGATATATCGTTCGCGATACTCCGGCCCAATAATTGCTACCTCGCCGCGATCACGCCGCTGCTTATGTCGTTTAAAAAATTCAGAATCTCTGGTGTACTTACGTGCTCTAATAATGAATTATAAATGCGACGAGCATCGAGCGATTTAAATGTCAACAGTCAACGTGTCAACTTTCTCACTGACAGTCTCGCCGGGACTTTAAATACTGTCGCTATATCCAAGAATATTCCGATGTTTTTTTTTCTTTAAATCCTTTGTCCTTATTATCGAGAGAATTTATATATGTATATCCTAAAAAAATAATACAATCCTAAACAAATAGCTTGCAGATTATAATCGCATATATTATAGATTTGAATGCTTGAAAAATTATATAGGATAAAAAACTGAATGCATTATGTCGAGCCTATATGTATACGTATATATATAGGTTCGATATAATGCATTCGGTTTCTTCGCAGTCATAAAAAAATTCTTTGACTCATTAATTCTTTCATTTCATATATATCTTAATTTTTTAAGTCAAATGCCGATCGCGTTGTCCTTGAGAGACACACTTTTTCATTTGTATAATGCACTCTTTTCAAACGATATATTCTAGAAACGATTCTCCCACGTGCATTCAATATATTACGTATTGTATACTTATTAATAACACAATACATGTTTTATTGTTTACGTTAAATAAGACATTTCTATTGTGCGTAAATAACAGAGATGGTATATAATTAATTAGAAATAGAAATGTTATTTTGGAAATATCCTTTATATATAATAGGAGCCATAGTATGTTATTAGTGAATAGACCATTGTTCACAGTGGCAGTTCGAATATTTGAAAAAAAAAACAATGCCGTTTCTCTCGTCGTCGCGCATGTCGAAAGACAATAAATATAGCATGCGGATTCAAGATTTATGGCTCATTGCTTTCATTTGTGTTCACGAGAAACAGAAAACGGTACAAAACGGAGCCTATATATTTTGTTACCTATCTCGAGAAAAATGCCTGCGGGAAAAATAGAACGATGGTGAAAGCGATGGTGACGAAAAGTGGGAAAGCGTAGATTTCGGCGAAATCTGCGAAGACCAGCTCCTCCTTCCCTCTCAACCCCCCTCTCGAGTAGAGAGGGGGGTGCGAGCGAGCCGGTAGATGCCGTGGAAGTGCGGAGACGACGACGACGATGGTGGTGTGCACCCCGCCGGGGCCAATCGGCGGCCGCGTTACATCCGCGTCGTCTCCGTGCCACGCGCGCCGATTGGCCGGCCGCCGACCGGACCGGCGATCGCGCCGCTCCGTACCGGCCGCCATAACGAACACGAACGCCGGAACGTGCGGTACGCCCGTCCTGTACGTACATACATACGTCGGTTTGAATGAGCGACTACCGCGGCATTCGGCGGCGTGAGTTAAAATCAAACGACTCGACGCGACGCGCCCGCGTTGGTGTGACTCGGTGACTCGCGAGTTCCTTCGCCCTCCTCCGACCCCGGCGTGTCTTTTTCCTTCAGTCCCGAGTTCCCTTTTTTTCCGCTCTCTCTCTCTCTCTCTCTCTCCTCCATTTCTCTCCCTCGTCCTCGTCTCGTCTCGTCTCTCGTCCCCGTGTGAAAGAGAAGCGTGAGGAAGCGGCGACGTGAATCGCGAGCGTCGCGGCGCGCACGCCGCACGTGCACGTGCACGACGTGATCCTGCGGAACCCGCGAACATGGAGGTCGCGCGGAAGGTGCACTACGACGCGTGCGACATGAAGAACGGCGAGCTCACCTGGAGCTGCGGCGGCGGCGGCGGTGGCGGTGGCAACGGCAACGGCGACGGCGTCGGAGCCGGCAGCGGTGTCGTCGGCGGCGGCGGCGGCGGCCACAGCCCGGAATGCAACGTCCTCAACTCCTCCGGGGACGACTTCGGCTCGCCGCCGCCGCTGCAGCCGCGCAAGCTGTTCGACGCGACGGACTGCAACGACGACGAGGATCAGCCGATGAACAACAACAACAAGATTCTGCCCTTCGTGACAGGTTAGCTCTATCCTAGCTCGCTTGTCGAATTTACTACTCCTCTCATCGCTGCATCGTTCAACGTCTCGTTCTTTTCTCTCTCTCTCTCTCTCTCTCTCTCTCTCTCTCTCTCTGTCTCTCTCCATCTACTTATATTTGCATTTCACATTTCGTTGTAGGGATATATGCATCGCGTTTCGAGCGCGGAAAGTATAACACGCGCCGCGCGACGCTACGAAGAATGAAATTTTTTTTTACGTTTTTGCTCGCTGCATCCGCGAATCCCTCCCGACTTTTCGTCTTTTTCTCCCCAACGTCTCGTATTTACCACCTGTTCCATCATATACTTCATCGTATGCCGTTTCAAGTGCAGGGAGTGTAACGCGGAGTGGAGCTAGAATCGAAGAACCGGAATCCCTTACGTTTCAATATTTAGATTCTTTCTCGATTTTCCCTCTTACAACGTCTAATTTTACGTAATTTTAATTGCGAGACGCACATCGTGTGGTGCCTTTCTCAGGTACAAAGAAGAGACACTTTTCTTCACGCTACGTCACGGCGTCCCTTTGCCAACTCCACCTCCCCCCCTCTCCCCACCCGGTGCGAGGAGTCGAAGTGAGAGAGTCGTAGGAAGTGACCTCGTGTTTTCATTTACGAATAAGGTCCGTCCGGAAACGGTCTCGTAGTGTGAACGGTTTATAGATATATCGGTGTACGTCAAAACAAGGGATTCTTCGTGAACCTTTTTCCCGGTTTGTGTGCTTCCAATTGAAGGAAGTGATGATCGAGAGACGGCACGCTCCGACGACGGAAAAATTTAGCGAGAGTCGTGCTCGATTTTGCGCTGTAAAAACAGAAATTCGGTCTTGTCGTCCGAAACCATGGATTTGAAGTCCTTCGTGCCGATCGCCACGTATAAATGTAAGAAGTAAATATATCTCACGCTATAGTCTCGGCAGAAGAACTGCGCACGTAACTACAGACGCCTGTTGCTGAACACACCTGTTGCTTCTGTCTCCTATTATTTCTCTTCTCGCTAAATTCTCGAACGCGCATATATGTACTTGTATATTTATTCAAAATTATATTGGCGCATTGGTGCGAAATTATTGATATCGACAACGTTTAGACAATTTTTTTGCATCGTGCGTAAATACTTTCTGCAAAGTGATTTTTCGATCTCTGCATAATAATTACGATCGTAAATTATATATGACGCTCTGATTACGATCGTTTTTTTTTCGAATTGAAATTACGGCATCAGTAATTCAAAATTATCTGTGTACTGATGACAATACCAGTGTAATATCTAATTATTACATATACAATATCGCATATGTAGTTTCAACTCGTTGGCAAAGCATGCGTATGTACGAGTAAACAAATTAACTCTAGATAGATTTATATTCTTTTATATCTTATTTCATTATTTTTACGTATTATTTTAAATATATTAATCGGGCTCTTTGAAATTATTCCGAGCGAGGAAGACAATTTGTAGTTTAAAAGTATAAAACGCAATATAATGAAACGCCTGTTAATTCCGATCGACATTTTAATTGTCCGATGAAATCAATGGGAAATTTTTTGTCATTTGCGACGCACGATGACTGCAAGCATTCTATGCCGAATAAACGTTTATTTGCAGGTACTCCAGCCATCAAGGCTCCCATCAGTCGTGAAAGTGCTTTTCACAAGAATTCAATGGGGTGTAGTCCACCCTACAAGCGTGTTAGGGCATTACGTCTATTCGACTCGCCCACTACCCCGAAAACCTTGATACAGAAGAGCGTGTTTCAAACTCCGTTACCGTCAAGGTGTTCTAAACTTTTTAATCTAGACAAGCCTAGACCATCGAAGATAAGTCCCAGTTACCAGAATAAATTGGAAAAACCCACCGCGAATATAAATCCATTCACGCCTACCGGCATGTTAATAACGGCAAGAAAAAGGAGCAGATCCAAACGTAGTCTCAATGGGTATGTATCTTATAATTTCTGTATAATTTGTACACCTGTGATTAATCATAACTCATCAATAAACAACAAAACACAATTAAAATGCCCATTTTTCCTATTCACAAATTAAGAAAAGGTTGTTTCTTCCATATTTATGTGACTTTGTGTTTGCGAAAATTAAGTTAGAAATTTTGTTTCCGGCATATTAATTAATATTAAAATACTAGAGTATATTTATCTGTTTGTCATTATGTCTTGATTAAAGAAAAATCTGCTTCAGATTTATAACTACTTTCTTTCTTTTGTGACAGTAGTAGTAGCAGCTCACCGGACATGCAGGTATCAAAGGGTGACCTCGTAGACTCCGAGGACTCCGACAACGAATACGAGCACGCGACGAAACGCGTAGCGCTGCAGGACTCGAATATATCGCGTTACCACCAGGAGTTTCACGAGCTCGGCCTGATTGGGACCGGCGAATTCGGCTCCGTGCACAAGTGCATAAATCGACTGGACGGGTGTACGTACGCTATCAAAAAGAGCATCAAACCCGTCGCGGGCAGCATCAACGAGAAGAACGCGCTGAACGAGGTGTACGCGCACGCCGTGCTCGGCAAGCATCAGCACGTCGTCCGCTACTACTCCGCTTGGGCGGAGGACAATCACATGATCATTCAAAACGAATACTGCAACGGCGGCAGTCTCGCGGACACGATCCTCCTGATGCAACAGCAGAAGCAGTACTTCAGCCAGGCTGAGATGCGTCAGCTGCTGCTGCACGTGGCCGAGGGACTGAGGTACATACACAGTATGCAGCTCGTGCACATGGACATCAAGCCCGGCAACATCTTCATCACCAAGGAGAAGAAGTTGCACGCCATCAACTACGACTCCGCAGACGACGGTTTTGACGAGGACGAAAACGTCGACGAGGAGATCACGTACAAGATCGGCGATCTCGGTCACGTCACTTCCGTCAACAATCCGCAGGTGGAGGAGGGCGATTGCAGATACCTCCCGACCGAGATTCTGCAGGAGGAATTTACTCATCTGGCGAAGGCCGACATCTTTGCCCTGGGGTTGACCATTTACGAGGCAGGTGGCGGCGGACCTCTGCCGAAAAACGGACCAGCGTGGCACGACATTAGACAGGGGAAATTGACGGACTTGCCGCACTGCAGTCGCGATCTGAACAACTTGTTGAAGGTACGACTTTATTTCTCAAGTTTAACGGCGGACAATTGTTTCTTTCTCCGGCGAGCTATCGCAAAAATCAAAATTTTCTCAACAGAAGTTATTTTCATTTTTTTTTTAACGTTGTCGGTTTGTGTTCATTCGCAGCTGATGATCCACCCCAATCCGGAAATGAGGCCGTCGGCGGTGTCTCTGATGCAGCACCGAGTCCTGTGTCCGATCGGGAAGAAAACCAAAGCGCAATTGCGAAGGGAGCTGAACGCTGAGAAACTTAAAAACGAGATCTTGTCGAAACGACTTCACGACGCGGCAATGTACCTGAAGTCCATCACTAACGCACCGAACGTTGTCGTCGAGGGTGTCAATTGCGACCGGCAGTTGCGACCGACGGCCACCAGATTATCGTCGTCCCGTGTTATAGGCAAAAAAGTCAATCGTAGTAACAGCACTACGAACTTTTGAATCTTTTCGTTGAATTTTTGACACCGGTAAAGTTTCGGAAGGTGATACTTACGGGAGCGATCGGTTTCCCTGAACATCGCCTTAACATGTGATACCGTATCTAGTTTTTTAAGTTTATTCCAGTAAAAATAAGACGTTTAAACATCAGAATGCCGAGTAAAATTACGTACGATTATAAACGAGCATTCTCCCTATGATGATTCTCCTGATACGATTGATGTTTATTATATAGCTGTAGACAACGTAATTCGTAGTATCTTTATTAATACTATAATGGTTGTGTATTTTTCTTTTTTTTTTTTTTGGATTGTTATCGAAAACGAAATTTGTTAGTATACGAGCGTGTAGCAAGCGAGTTTGCAGTTAATTTCTCCGGGGGGGAGGGGCACTGAGGGAGCGAAGTTCGGTTTAATTTAAGATGTAATTTACACACTCAAACGTGACAAAATAATATAATGTAATATTACTAGCGTCGACTGGCATAAAAATCTTTTCTAAATTATGGAATGAAACTGCTTTATATGGCAGGTTAATTATGTGCAGTAAGAAAGTTTTTGAGACCACCTTAGTGTTTTGTGTTTCAACGTTGATGAGACTCTCTCGGCGCTTATCAATTCTTTTTACTGGCGGCTCTAAAACTTTTCTTATTTCGGCACAGGATTAAAGCAATTTTATTCTCTATCTCGGTATGCAGTGCATGCGGAGTAAGTAAAAATCGCATGTAAAAGCGAATTGAAATAATTATTGCGACTTTTACAATTTTTGCACGTTTCACTATTTACATGTTATACAAAATCTAAAAGATATTTCATTTTTCAGGAATTACAAGTTTATAAATTATTTTCTTAACGTTTAAACGGTTTTTTTTTCTTTTATATTTTACACACGAATCCTTTTTTTTTCTTTGTAAAAATGACAATGCATGACTGAACAAGTATGTTCCAGTGGCATTAATAACACAAATTATTCTTATATCCTTTTAACCTGCTTTCGCTTGCCGATTGTAACGCTTTCCTTACAATCTCAATAACAAATGCATGAACAATTTTGTACCCTAGCAAAGAAAAAAACAAGTTTTTTACCTGTATAAAAAATAATAAGTGCGCCCATACATACACTGCCGTATCTTTTACTGTCTTTTTACTTCAGTCAATATTTTGCCAAAAAGTAATAGGAACGTCATTTATCTATGCCTTTAAGATGTAACTTAAGCTTAGCTGTAGCGCAAAATCTCAGGTTGAGTATATTTTTCTACTGTAATATAACGTTTTATATATGATGTACCGTTTATTACTTAGCTGATCACCAAGAGCATTTTATTGCCTATCGTAAAAATTTTGTATTGTTTTGTCGCGATATTATGCAGATTACTGACTGCATAAATTTTACAAGGAGAAAAAGAAATATTTTTATATTAACGATTCGTGATTTTCCATCAGAATTACAACGAAATCTTTTACAATAGATTAGCTAAGTATTAACTATATGTAACATTTAGACAACTACTTACCGCTGTGCCTTTACGGCTTATGCCATAATATAAGAAACGTTTCTTGTTATTTCTAGTGTTTCCAACGATACGCATGTTTCCGTTAACTACTTTTATCAGTTGCGATCGCAAAATAATTTTATCAAATAATTTTGTCTTTAATATCGTAATCCTGAAATAAGTATTTAATCTCTTAAAAATTAAACGGAATAACAATCGGTTTGTAAAATCACATGCACAACTTCAAATGGGTGAAACTTAAGAAATAGATTTTTAATATCTTTTCGAAAGATGAATGCCAGTTTTCACAATTAACATTTATTTAATAACACCGGACAAATTAAAAAAATGCAAATTAATTATATATCAAGAATTATTCTAAATATAAATAATATATTCTAAATGTGATCAATATAATGTAAAAATCAAGTTTAATTCCATATTTATGATTAAAATACTATACTGCTAGGATCAAATGTTTCAAATTTTAACTTGCTGGTTTATCTTGCAAATTTGTTTCCTCTGTTTGTTTAGAAAAGTAATCAGACCAGCTGTCTTACATAAAATACAAAATCTATTATATAAAATTATTTTTATTTACAGTTAGAATAAAACTAAATATTTCCATGTCTTAAAATTCAACACGCGAGTATCTAAATGCGATTTCACGTATGAAAATTTTAATTTTTTATATATACAATTACACTTATCTTCAATATCGTCTAAAGTTTGTATTTAATCAAACGGTTCATTTAGAATAATTCTTGATGGATCCATGTACGCGTTTTTTTAATTTGTCCATTAAAATATTATTAAATAAATGTTGCAGTATTACAAAACTTATGTGGAGATAATAAAATTGAAAATCTGTTTCTTTAATTTCAATTTTAAATTAAATTCCTATTTGAAAGTCTCGTAAATTGAGTTTCCTTCGAAATTAGAGAAACGACATGAGCAATTGTTAACATGAAGAGATGACAGTTTTCAATCATGAAAAACAAATCGATGGTTCCTACGTTTTTTTATGTTCTGTTAACTCTTCACCGGGCATTAAAACTTTCTGTTTCCACGGTGAGAACAATTGCTAAGAATAGACATTCATGCTTAGGTGATACGTTAGCGTTCATTTTACAGGATTTTACAATTTCCCAAAGATTGCTGTGTTGTAGTTAATATGCATGTTGATTCCCGTAAACGTTTCTCCGCAACCCACTTCGTCACTGTGTTAAGTCATAAAGCATGCTGATGTAATTCGAATCTTTGATATTAACAAGGGAAACTCGTGAAATGCGACTTGTACGATTGTTTTCGTCTGTTCCGATCGACTGAACTATATAAAATGAAACAACGCATTTTTTAAGAACAATATTTTGAGAAGAAAACATACAGCTATCAAGACTACGTAACTGCCAATGTTAAACTTGTTAGTACATTTTTTTTGTTATTTAAACTGTACGATTATATCCGTAAAACAGTAACATAAAAAGAATTTTATGCGTATTTTTTACACGAATCGTTTGTATAATAAACATTATATTTTAATGTGCTGTTAAAAACGATAGAAATTAATATAGAACAAAAAATACAATTAATTTATAAATGAATCAAATGAATTCAATTTATTAATTAATATAAATCTATCAAAATTTCATTATTAATTAATAAATTGTTTAAATTATATTTTTTGTTTTTAATATTGAGATTTTTATCGTTTTAACAAAATGACACATTTTAATATACACTTTATTATACAAATGTATTATTTTTTTTACATGCAAGTCACGTGCTCGCAAAAGATAAAAAGAATTGCTCAGTCGTGTGTTACGGGCTCGCCTTGTAAGATTTTCCCATTTTTATCGATTCTAACGCGCACGAACACAGCATGCCAGTCAATATTCATATATAATATATCGCTGGTTATGTACAATTAATAGATCTGATATGTTCTACATATTTTCTGCTAGTTTGTCATACAAACGTCCTTTTTTTTTTTTACACCGAAAAAGCCGAAAATCCTGCGTTCGTTTATCGAATGTGATACATGTGAAGAAAAACTACGATTTTTGTAAGCGTATTTGCATAATCCCTGTCTAGTTTTAAGACTATATTGTATATTTATATATGAAAATAATTTCGAAAATGTCGCATGTAAGAAAGCGGATATGCATGAATGTCATCTTTCTAAACGAAGGAGGGAAAGCGAGGTTGCGAGATACACCAACAGCAAGATGAATTTGAAACTTGAACATACCCTGCTTTAAGTAAATGCTTATTTTACGCTCAAGCATAATTTATTTCAATTATTATAAATTATTATAAATGACAATTATAACTGATTGTTACGCTTTCTATCCTTAGAACCTTTCCATCATGTAGGTAAACAAAAAAATTACTACTTCGCGCAAAATCTAAATAAATTTCAGCGAGCACTGGTAAATCTAGTGTTACCCCGCGCGTGTGCAAATCAGCGAATTTAGATCGTAGGTGTCTCTGTGTAAAAATTAACAATATCTCGAAGCGTGTGTCGCATAATTTCACAACGAGCGTAATGTGATTCGATTGGAAAATAATTGGTTGTTAATGTTGTAATATGGTTTGTATTTTTCCGTCATCATTGAATTTATTCCTACTGACATTTTGTGAGATAACATTTCAAAATTAATAAAAAATGTATTACCAAGAGTTGCTAATGACAGATAATTCACCTTACCAATGTTGATTTATCCCATCAAATTATAATTTTATTTATTTATATTTAGATAAAATGTAAAACAAATAGTTTTTTTAATGTAAATAATATAAATATACAAACCTGTTCCAAAGAAAATAATTCTTCTATTATAGTCTTAGATTTTGTATAAATTCTTTCATTCACATGATATTGAAGATTTTTTTATTTCTATTCCAGCAACTAATTTTATCATATCGACAAAACTTTTTCGTTTTATTATTTCTTGCAGCTTGCAATATATTCATTAGACCATTCAAGCCATCAATAATAAAGCAATCATTTTTCCCGCTAATTCTTTTTCTTTAATTTTTATTTAATGATCGTGGAGTCCCGTATATTGTACGAGGAGGTTTGAAACGTTCAGAGTTATCTACAGATTCTTCTGTATATGCCCGTATTCATTTTCCTTTGTCAAGGAATTCAACCTGTGGCTGTCAAATGTAAAAAAAAGAACCATTACTGTTTACAATCATCCACTGAAAATATAACGACCGAAATTGTCAAGGGCATTATTGTACGGATTTCATAATCCGGCCGGATCGGTCACGTGTCAAGTTGTCGAGTTTCTCGTTAGAGCCGTTAGAGGTCTCTAGCGTCTCCCGTAATCGCGAATCGCAGGAAAGGCATGATGCGTCAGTGTCAACTGTCAGTTGCGTCAACTCGTAGGCCGGGGAAACGTTTTATCGGTCACGCTCCCGGCCAGATTTGTGACGGCTCCCGATTCTGCCCCCGAAGATGACACGTTCGTTGGCTGGATTACTCCTCGCTGCTCGGCTAACGACCTCCTCCCCGACGGAGGAGCTCCGAAATTAGAACGGGGGAACAATTAAATATAATTCCTCGCGAAGCACACATGTCGCCGACTAAATAGATAATCTTCAGTGTGTCGTAAATAATTCCGCATGTTATTACACGTCTGCGAAAGCTATACTTTTTAGGACATAAGTTCACGAGTTCCCTCTTAAAAATCCACGAATTATACATTAGCTCGCAGTATTTCTCGTTTATAATTTTAGTCGACTATAGACATAATGTATACATGAATAGCGTGTAACAGTGCATGTAACGCGATTACGCATATATATAACAATAGTTGTTAAATAAATAATCAACTTTTACTTGTACGAAAGAGGAATTTCCTTATTCGATTTCGGCACCATTTCAATTCCTTTCAATATATACTTATTACGGGAAGTAGTCCTGTGCAAACACGTTTCTTTTCTTACATTCGTTCATCGCTTCCAGATATAATCTTACGCAATCTTTTACGCTTTTTTTAGCACGATGAGACGATAGAGTGTACAATAATATAGACGATTGCATATAGACAAGTCACCAATGTCGGCCTCTTCATTGCAATTATTTCAAATATATATTGTAATTAGATACACGTTTTTCAGGAATCTTTACGTACACTGATTAATATTTTTGATCTTTTGCATAGCATTATTGATTTTCTCTGTCTTTCAACAATCAGAATATATGAAAGCATTGTAAAAATCTGTATTGAAATTATTTTACTAATTTATATTCTAATTAATACACAATAATTGCTAATAATTAATAGAATGCATTTGCAGCAAGTTTCTTACGATTTTTCACGTTTCACATTTTATGCATCTTGTTTGTCTAAGAATGTCACTTTCATTGTTGCTCCGTTCGATAAGATTGACTGGCGCACAAGTTGCAGCATCAATTAACTTGAATTACTTGAGAATAAGTTTACACGATTATAGAGTATTAACTGCCACAAATGAATTTATTGATAATGATGTCTTAAAGTTGAAGAGTTAATTTGATTTCCTCTTTGCTCTTTTCACTTCATTGACGATTACTGTAGAGCCTGAAAATTTAGCTTTCACGCATGCTTCCTTAGGTAAGATTATCGAGGGTAATTATTATCTTATAAATGCATTTTATATACGCAAATAATTTTTCTCTACTGTAAGATGCCGCTATGAAGAGTACAAAATGTGTTTCTCTTTTATTTAGGTTTCAAAATAACTTAAAATGTGTGTAAACGTCGATCTACAGCCAAGGAAAAAAACGAATATTTTCTATCGATACGGATATGTTCTGTTAATGCTCGCATGCATGGTATTTGCGACCATTCAACCGCACATTGGTGGGACAAACGGTAATACATTTTTCTACCCTTTCAATATTTTTATCATGTTAATTGGAATAACAGAGCGCATTGATGCAACCGCAATTTTTGTTTGTTTGTTACAGGCATAATCGATGGTAACTTTATCATTCTCTATTTCGCTGTGCCTTTGACGTATTTAGAAGCTGGTTTATTATGCGATCCCAAGTCCCTGTACTCGACGTTGAGGGATGGCTATCTTCTGACATTTGTGATGGTATTCGTGTACATTTTGATGCCCTCTCTAGCACGAATCGGGACGTATCTGTTGACCTACGCGAAAGTTAATGTTTGGCTACTCAAAGGAATAGAGGTGATTAAAAGTATTTATAATCCGTAATTAATAAATCCGTTAATACATACAGGGAGAGAATTTTTTTTTAAATTTACCCTGCAAATCATGTTAATTGTGGGACAATATAGTATTTAGGCTAATTTTACTGTGCACTACAATAA